GAAGTTCTGATCCTGGCGCTTCCGCTGAGCCCCGACAGCCCTGCAGCTCCAGCCGTCTCTCGCTCAGGCTTGTGTGGTGCTGCCACTGGTTCAGCTCATTCCCCTCCTCCGCTACCACTTTTCTAGGATGGCCGTGTACCACCTGCCAGGTGCCAATGTACCACAGGTGGTACCCGTACCACTGGTTGAAAAGCCCTGGACTAGATGACCTCCAAGGTCCCTTCCAACATCATCATCATCATCATCATCATCATTATTACTCTTAGGCAAACTACTACTAAAGATATTACTAAGGTAACTACAGAGACTTCTCACCAACAGTCTACAAGTGGTTTGAAGTCACTTATAAATAAATACAGACAGTCCTTGACTTACAATCATTCATTTAGTGACCAAAGTTATAGCATCAGTGGAAAAAAGTGACCGTTTTCCCCCTCTTACGACTGTTACAGCCTCCCCAGGGGTCACATGATCAAAATGCAGACGCTTGGCCACCGACTCGTATTTATGACGGTCTCAGTGTCCGGGGGGGCGTGTCATGTGAACCCCCTTTTGCGACCTGCTGGCAAGCAGGGAAGCCAGATACGCTTAACGGCCGTGTGATTCACTGGACAAGCGCAGTGATTCACTTAGCAAAGGTGGCTTCGAGAATGGCTATAAAAAACGGGGCGACACTCAAGAAAGGTCTCACTTAGTACACAAAAATGTTGGGCTCAATTATAACTGCCTGTAACCCGATCACTCTCCCCATATCCAGGTAGATGGGTAAGTATGTGTGCATACATCGATATACTACTAAACTCCGATTCCTGTTCTCTTTTAATTGGAGGAAATTCTAGCAGCCCAAGGCAAAACTTTCTGAGCCAAGGATAACAACAACAACAACAACAATAAGGTTGGAAGGGAGCTTGGAGGTCATCAGGTCCAACCCCCTTTCTCAGGCAGGTAACCCTATACCATTTGGGACAAATGGCTGTCTAGTCTCTTCTTAAAAACTTCCAGATTCTCGAGTGGAGTAAGTTACAGAAGGCATCCAAAATCCAGGACCGACGACTCCCGTGGAATTGAAATTTGGCAAATGTTGTGAAGCATCTTATGACCCAAATAAAGCAGGGGTCTTCCAACGTGGCCCTTTGATGACTTGTGGACTTCAACTCCCAGAATTCCTCAGCCAGCGTGCAATCCTCTCTTTTTTTTCCTTTTTCTTTCTCTCATCCTTCCGTTTCCTCCCTTCCTCTCTCTCCTTTTTCCTTCCTTTTTCTTTCTCTCATCCTTCTGTTTTCTCTCTTCCTCTTTCTCCTTTCTCCTTCTCTTATCCTTCCGTTTCCTTCCTCCCTCTCTCCTCTCCTTCCGTTTCTTCCCCCTTTCTCCTTTGTTCTTCCATTTCCTCCCTTCCTTTCTTCCTTATCCTTCCTTCCTCTCTTTCTATTTCTTTCCTTCCTTTCTCCCTCCATCCCTCTCTCTCTCTCTCTCTCTCTCTCTCTCTCTCACACACACACACACACACACACACACACACACGCCCACTGGCTGAGGTATTCTGGGAGTTGAAGTCCACAAGTCATCAAAGGGCCAAGTGTGAAGACCCCTGCTCTAACAAACAACAGCAAACTGAATAAAGGAAAGTTTTTGTTTTCCAGAAACCTGCCAGGAACGGACCTGCATGGGACGTTACCCTCAAAAGCCACACTGAAATGCAGACTTCCAGAAAAGCAGGCTGCATGAAACCCACATATTGCTTTTATAGATGATTCCCGAAGATCTGCTACAGTAGTAAAATAGAAATATGGTAAAAGCTGGCCATTCTCAACGGTAGATATCTATCAGTAATTCATATACAAAGTGACTTTATCCCTCTTCTGGTTAAGAGTTATACATACAAGATCACTAGGGATGTGGCTTAGAAGCAGGAGACACCATGGCATCGTATATATTGAATTCGAGCTACAAGCAATGAGAAACAATTCTGATGTTACTTAGTTGGGGAATGAAATGCCTGCAAGAAAAACTAAAAGCTCAGAGAGCACCAAGGACCCCACAGTCCTCCCCCTCCTCTCCTTCTCTTCCACTCCACAAACCCCCTCTCTCTTCTAGCACTGATGATGTTACCTAGTTGGGTCATGAAACGTCTGTAAGAAAACCACCAAGCTCAGACATCACCAAGGACCCCCACAGTCCTCCTCCTCCTCATAAGCCCTACTCTCTTCTAGCACTGATGATGTTACCTAGTTGGATCATGAAACGTCTGCAAGAAAACTACCAAGCTCAGAGAACAACAAGGACCCCACAGTTCACTCCTCCACCACAAACTTCACTCCTTTCTAGCACTGATGAGGTTCCCTAGTTGGGTCACAAAACGTCTGCAAGAAAACCACCAAGCTCAGAGAGCCTCTAACAGCCAGAGTTCAACCTTGAGTTACAAATATTTCTTGAAACAATTATTTCAGTACGTCCGAACTGTCAAAGGATCACAAGATTAAGACAGCAACTAAGATGCTGGACCACAATTTACACCTTCCCGGGAAGCAGAAGAAGAAGAAGGAAGCAAATAGTAGATTCTTTCCTTATCTTGGTCACCCAGTAAAACAATATAGGCTCCTGAGCTTTAGTAAAGCAGGAGAGGAGAAGCCCAACTCCCAATAGGGAAGCTCCAGCCTGCTCAAAACTATGACAGCCCAAAAGCACAAGAATGAAACCTAGAGCAAAAAGTTCATTCCTGGCACGTCTGGAGTTGTATATCTCCCCCTGGTGTCACAGCACAAATCAGGAAGTGCACTTCCTAACCAAGATGCAACTAAGAAAATATATATATGTATGGATGTATGTATGTATATTCCAGGAGGAGCATTCCTTCTTCGCCAGCCTCCTTCGCCAGCCATTCACATTCCAAACGTGGCTTGCCGTTCATTGCGCAATTCCAACCAAGTTATCGGGGACAGATCTCCAAAACCGCTTTTGCGAGGCGGAGCTGCCTGCACGTTGACCCAGTTTGCAAGCAGGGCAAGGTTTCCCCCCCCCCTTGATTGAGCTTTCTCTTTCTGCCTCTTTGCAAAGGGCTGGGGAGGGGTCCCTTGGGAAGATTCAGGGTGCAAAGGTGAGAGACCCCCCCTCCCCCTGGTGAAACTCGGGAGGGAGGGAAGAATGGCTGGGCGGGGCGAGCTGGTGGGCCTTTCGGAGGGGGCCTCCTTTTGGGGTGAGGGTTTCTCTCCAAGGGAATCCAGTCAGGAGGGGGCAGGAGGGGGAATGGAGGGGGTCACCTGTTGCAAAGGGACTCAAGACCACCTCCTCAGTCTCCTCAGCAATTAAGGAAGGGAGGGGAGGACAAGGGTCTCCCCTCCCCTGGTTAAGAGGGGGTGGCGGCAGAGGAGGCCTCAAGGGTCCCTTTGCAAGAGGTGACCCTTACCATTCCCCATCCTGACTCCTTTTTCAGGGGGGGGCTCCTTTTTGGGATAGGGGCTTCTCCCGAGAGGATTGGGGTGGGTGGGTGGGATGGGGGTCACCTATTGCAAAGAGACCCAGGCCTCCACATTCAACTAGGGCAGGGGAGAACTTTGTGCTTCTCCCCTATTTAAATGCAGAGGGGACGGAGGCGGGGGCCTCAAAGGTCCCTCTCCAACAGGCGACCCCCATCCCACCCACCCCAATTCTCTTGGGGAGAGCCCCCCCCAGGCTAAAAGGAGCCTCTCTCTGAAAGGGGATCAGGAGGGGGAAAGGAGGGGGGGTCGCCTGCCGCAAAGGGACCCTCTTCCTCTGCCGCCCCCTCCACATTTCACTAATGGAGGGGAGACCCTCATCCTTCTCCCCTCCCCTCTTTAAATGTAGAGGGCGAAGAAGAGGAGGCTTCAAAGGTCCCCTTGCACTCCTCCCTTCCCCATCCTGCTGCCCTCTTGCCCTTTCAGAGGGGGCTTCCTTTTGGGATGGGGGGGGCTTCTCCCCGAGAGGATCAGGGTAGGTGGATGGGTGGGACGGAGGTCAGCTGTTCCAGAGGGATCCTCGAGGCTTCCTCCTCCCCTGCATTCAAAAGGGGAGGGGAGACCCTCCCGCTTCTCCCCTCCCCTCTTTCAAGGTCGAGGGGGAGCAGAAGAAAAAGGCCTCAGGGGTCCCCTTGCAATCTCCCCTTCCCCATCCCGCCGCCCCCCCCGCCCTTTCAGAGGGGGAGTTGGGGCGGGGTGGGGGGGGCTTCTCCACGGGGGGATCGGCGTGTGGGGGTGGGAGGGGGTCGCCCGCTGCAGAGGGCCCCTCGAGGCTTCCCCCCCCTCTACATTTGGGGAGGGGAGAAGGGCGAGGGTCTCTTCTGCCCGGTTAAAGATAGAGGGGGGAGGAGGCCTCGAGGCTCCCTCTGCAGCAGGCGACCCCCTCCCACCCCCACCTCCTGGTCCTCCCGGGGAGCAGCCCCCACCCCAAGCGACCCCCGCCCTCCTCCCCTCCCTCCCCCCCCTCCCCGGGGCGGAGGGAGCTCAGGCCAGGCCTCCCCCCCCGCCCCCCCCCAAGCGGGGCCGCAGAGGCCGCCTGGGCCCGGCCCGGCCTCCCTCACCGAGCGCTGCAGCTCCCCGAGCCAGAGGCTGGCGCGCTCCTTGCCGCTGGGGTCCGGGTCGTGGTAGAGCGCCTGCACGGCCTGGTAGACCATCTGCAGGTTCGGCTTCCCGCCGGCGCCCCCGCCGGGCCCGACAGGATCCATCCCGCCGCCGCCGCCGCCGCCTCGCCCTCAGGCCTCCGCCGGCATCGCGGGCGGCGCCTCGGCCGAGTCCGTTACCGGGAAGGAAGCGAGCCGCCACTGCGGGAGGAGGCGGAAGCGCGCCGGAGCCACCCGGAAGGCGCTCCCTCCGGAAACCCCGCCCCGCGCGCGGCAGTTCCGACCCGCCGGCCTCAGCCTCCACAGACCGCCCGCCGGTCCAGCCGAACCGACGCGGACACCGCCGGAGTTCCGGCCGCGGCCTCCTGTGTTCCCTCCCCACGCTCGCCACGACGGCTTGTCCCAGCACTCCAGGCCCCGGGGGGGGGGGAACGGCCGCCGCTCGAGGGAACTTCCGGTTGTCTCCGGCAAAAGCGTCCGGGCGGCTGCACGCGCTCGCCGGAAGTGAGTTCACCGGCCTGAGAGGCGGGAAGGGCGGGCGAGAGAGAGAGAGCGAGAGAGACAGAGAGAGTCCCGCCGCGCATGCGCGAGCGGCCGGGTCACCTTAGGTGCGGCGTTTCCCACCCCGGCCTGAAGAGGCGGGGACTTCAACTCCCAGAATTCCCCAGGCGGGTGGGCGTTGAAGGGCACGCCTTCTTCATCCAGGCTGCCTGTGGTAGATTGGTTGCAGGCCAAAGTTCAACAGGGATAGCTTTTGGCCACATTTTGGTGACCTTTTGTGATTATTATCATTATTATTTTTTTTTAGCTTCCTAGCTGATCAGCACTGACTAAGGGCTTATGCATAAATTTATACCAGGCGGGCCTCGACTTACGGCCAAAAATTGAGGCTGGAATTTATGTTCCTAAGTGAGAAAGGAATTGAAATGAATTCTGCCCCATTTTACGAATTTGTGACATTTTTCTTGCCACAGGTGTTAAGCGAATCACTGCAGTTGTTAAATTAGTAACTTGGTCGTTAAGTGCATTTTGCTCCATTTTACGACCTGTTTGGCCGCGGCTGTTAAGCGAATCACTGCAGTTGTTAAACTAGTATCAAACTTGTTAAGTGAATCTGGCTTCCTCCACTGACTTTGCTTGTCCAAAGGTCGCAAAAGGGGATCACGTAACCCCGGGACACTGCGACCGTCATAAATATGAGTCAGTTGCCAAGCGTCCGGATTTTGATCACCTGAACCAGGGAGAGGCTGCAGCGGTCCTAAGTGTGAAAAATGGTCATAAGGCCCTTTTTTCAGTGCTTTTGTAACTTCAAATGGTCACTAAATGAACTGTCGTAAATGGAGAACGACCTGTACTTATGCGTAAATGCTCAGTGCTTCTCCAACCTCTGGATGCACTGGGACTACAGAGCCCCAGAATGCACAGCCACTAGGGTAGCTCGTTCTTGGGGGTCCATTTCCAACATAGCTGAAATTTTCAAAAGATTGGAGAAACAGGTTCCCTGGATTGTGATTGGACATGGCACAAAGATTTTTTTTTTCTCTCAAGAAAAAAAAAGTTATTTATTTATTAAATTTATAGGCCGCCCATCTCACTATTGAAGTTATTCTGGGCACCATATAGGGGGGGAAAAAAGTTGCTGCCCAGGAGAGAAAAATAAATCCATTCCCTCGGAAACTAGCCAGACTTAAAAATTCCGCAAATGGCAGTGAATTGGAGCCAGCAAATTGTGCTATTTTGCAAAAAAAACAAACCAAAGGCTTTTGATAGAGACAGAACAATGGTATACTGCAGTGTTTTTCAACTTCAGCCAATTTTAGAGGGGTGGATTTCAACTCCCAGAATTCCCCACTCAGCATAACCATGGGTGTTTAGTGGAAAGACAGAATGCACACATGTTTCAATTCAGTGCATACATTTTTTTAAAAAGATGAATTAAATATTATCGGAGAATTCGTTTCTGTCTCTTGTGCTAGAAAGGAATTCCCAGGCCTCTCTCTTTGCTTAGATTTTAGGACTCTCCCAGCACAGAAAGTCTTGAATCGGCTGCAGTTTTGAAAAAATGGAGAAACACAGATTTCCTTGTGTGTGTCCGGGGGAGGAATTAGGATTACAGGGCAGGAACGGGGCTAAAAACACCGGCAACTGCCAGCAGAAGCTGCCCTAAACAAGCCGTGAAGAATGAATTACAGAGAAGAAGCAGTTTTGCCCAAGGAAGGAGACACACAAAAATAAATTAAGAATATATGAAGACAAAACTGAATAGAAACAAGGAACAATCACGATAAAGCAGAAGAAACGGAAGGAAGGGGCTTTTGAGAGCAAACAGCAGAGTGAAAACAAGATCAAGGGAGGTAAGCTGGCCACTTTTCAACAAGGAAGGCAAGAATTTCTTCCAAAATCTCACCCCTTTAAACATGCACGTCCCGTAAAAATCATGGTATGCTTAGGTGAATTATACCTTCCAGATGTGTGGGGCTGGGCACAAAGGGTTTTGTAGTCCAAGGCTCTGAAGCCTTAAGGAAGGCTGGAGAGTAACACGTTTCCCCGGAGAGATCATTTGAATTGATATTTAATGTTGAATTTTAACCATCTTTGCCTCTATTTCAAATTATAATTATTATTATTTTGGGTTTTTTTTTCAGCTTTTAACTTTTTATTTGCCCATCATCTGGAGTCCTTCTCTGAGGGAGATGGGTGGTTTTAAAATGGGATAAACCAACCAACAAATAAATAAATAATAATAGTATATAAATAATATATTATTATAACATATATATATATATATAACAGAATAGCAGAGTCGGAAGGGACCTAGTCCAACCCCCTGCTTGAGCAGAAGACCCTGTATCAGGGGTCTTCAAACTTGGCCCTTTTATGACTTGTGGACTTCAACTCCCAGAATTCCTCAGCCCGTGTGATGCTGACTGAGGAATTCTGGGAGTTGAAGTCCACAAGTCATAAAAGGGCGAAGTTTGAAGACCCCTGTCCTATATCATGTCAGACAAATAGCTGTTCAATCTCTTCTTAAAAACCTCCAGTGATAAAGCACCCACAACTTCTGGTGGCAAGCAGTTCCACTGGTTAATTGTCTCCACTGTTAGGAAATTTCTCCTTAATTCTAGGTTGCTTTCTCTCCTTGATGAGTTTCCATCCGTTGCTTCTGCCAGCCGTTGCTTTGGAAAATAAGTTGACCCTCTCTTTTTTTGTGGCAGGCTCTTAGATATAACCACACGTATAAAATACATTGTATAAAATAAATAAATAATAATAGTAATTCAGAAGACAGACCTCCCGTATAGCCGCCGCCTGTTTCCCAGGTCTTCCTTTGAAAATTAAAACTCACAGGAATTCATGGAAGACATTTTTAAGAGCTACACCTGGAACTGTGAGACTGGATGTGTTTACAAAATATGAGATATGGCTGGTTAGGTGTTAGCTTTGTGTAATGTGAATGGATATTGTAGCATGTCACATCTTTGTGTGAAATTTATAGTAGGCCAGGATGGCACAGTCCACATGGTAAAATGGGCTGGTTACAGCTACCTGCGTTTCAACTTGCCTTTAGAGCAAGGGTCTTCAACCTTGGCAACTTTAAGACTTGTGGACTTCAACTCCCAGAATTCCCCAGCTAGTATAATAAGGCTGAAGTCCACAAGTTTTAAAATTGCCAAGTTTGGAGATACTTGCATTAATCCAATCGCATAGATCAGGGGTAGGCAACCTTGGCACTTTCATGACTTGTGGACTTCAACTCCCAGAATTCCTGAGCCAGCCATGCTGAGGGGAAAGGGAAAGGTTTCCAAGCTGAGCCATGCTGGCTCAGGGATTCTGGGAGTTGAAGTCCACGAATCATGAGGGGGCCATAGTTCCCTCATGTTTGCTCAGGAATTCTGGGAGTTGAAGTCCACCAGTCACAAAGCGGCCTAGGCCTAGGCCAGAGATAGGCAACCTTGGTTTTTTTATGACTCATGGACTTCAACTCCCAGAATTCCTGAGCCCACCATGCTGAGGGGAAAGGGAGAGGTTTCCAAGCTGAACCATGCTGGCTCAGGAATTCTGGGAGCTGAAGTCCACGAGTCATGAGGGGGGGGCAAAGTTTCCTTCATGCTGGCTCAGGAATTCTGGGAGTTGAAGTCCATGAGTCATAAAAGAGCCCAGATTACCTACCCCTGGCATAGATAGATTTTCTCCAAGAGGGTCTGTCCCCAACTGGTGCTGCCATCCCCATTTTCACTCTCTCCAAGCCCCCTTAGCCATTGCTGCTCATTTGTTCTTCTCTTTCTTTCCACCTTCCACCATTATAGGCAGTCCTCAACTTACAACGGTTTGTTTAGTGAACTTTTGAAGTTACAACCACACTGAAAAAAGTGACCTAGGACCCTTTTTCACACTTAACAACCACTGCAGCATCCACGTGACCCAAATTCAGACGCTTCGCAACTGACCCGTATTTACGACGGCTGCATGTCCCAGGATAACGTGACCCCTTTTTGCGACCTTGGCAAACTCAAATGGGTGAAGCCCGAGTCACTTACTAACTTAAACCACTGCAGCAATTAATAATTGCGTCAGGAAAGCTTGTTAAAATGGGGCAAGATTCACTTAACCGTCCCGCTGAAGTAGCAGAAATTTGGGGCCGAAATACAGTCGTAACTCCAGGACTGCCTTGTAGTCTTGTAGTGCCTTCTCTAGAAATTTAGCTCTCTTCGGCATCATGGCTCTGAAACGGGATCAACTTGAGCCTGGGATCCGAGGCTACAGAGATTGTAGTTTGATTTTATATTTTCCGCTATCTCAGTGGTTCTCCACCTGTGGGTCGGGACCCCATTTGGGGTCGAACGACCATTTCACGGGGGTCGCCAAACAACGCAGTCCGCCATTTTTCCCCCCTTTTCCTTAGCTGGGCTACTCCCTTTTCTTCTATTGGCTTTTGAAAGCCAATAGAATAGACTCTCTTGAATAGAGTCTAATTCTATTGGCTTTCCAAAGCCAATAGGAATTGTCCAGGCTGTCTCTGCCCTGCTGAGCCCGCCAAAAGTCCCAGTCTGCAAACAGGGCTGCACCAGTTGAGTAGTCTTCGACTTACGACCGGTTGAGTAGTCCTCGACTTACGACCGGTTGGGGGGGGTCCCGGCATTAAAAAAGTTGAGAACCACTGCTTACAGAGATTGTATTTTTTTATTCTTTGAGCCATTTTATATTTTCCGCTATCCTATTTCCACACATATATATATATATATATATATGTATATATATAGGTCTTTGGTTGTTCGGGTTTTCTCCCGCGTAAAATTGGAAGTGTCTTGGCAACGTTTCGACGAAGTCACATTCGTCATCTTCAGGCTGGTGTTTTTAGCTTCTTGCTGCTCAAAGCAAGAAGCTAAAAACACCAGCCTGAAGATGACGAATGTGACTTCGTCGAAACGTTGCCAAGACACTTCCAATTTTACGCGGGAGAAAACCCGAACAACCAAAGACCTATATATATAATATAAAACCTCAGAAAACATATATATATATATATATATATATATATATATATATCTATATATATATATATATATATATATATATATATATATATATATAGTGCATTTTTTAATTTCTCTCTTTTTGCAGAACGGCCAGGAGAAAGTCATTGGACAGCGTGGGAAACCCGTCCCTTTCGCGCAGGGCGCGCCGCTCCTCGGCTTTAGCGGCCACGCGGCTCCTTTAAGAGAGTTTCCTCCTCGGACTGGCCGGCGGAACGGGGGGGGGGGGGGCAAGGAAAGCCAGCCTTGTAAAAAGAGAGGAGGGGAGGGGGGATGAATGAAAGAGGGGGAGGCCAATGGGGAAAAAGAGCGGCGACCGGCCAGACCAATCGCCGCGTCGTTTGGCGACTTGGGGAGGGATGCACCTTACGAGACTAAAGATCGGCGCGAGCCGGGGTCGGGTCCACAGCTGGACCGGACCGGTTGGCTGGGCGGAAGCCGGGCTTGCTTGCACCCGGGGCCATGGCCCTTCTCCGGGAGCGCGGGGTCAGCCCCCTGGTCAAGTACCTGCTCTTCTTCTTCAACCTGCTTTTCTGGGTGAGCCGGACAGGAGTCGTGGGAAAGGGGGCCACGCAGGCGTGCAAAAAGCGCCGTCCCGTGTGAACGAGACCCCAGTCCTGCGGGGAGGAGTGGTCGGGCTTTTTTGCCCTTGCAGGGGGGGCGCCGGGGGAGGGTGGGAGCGCCCACTCCCGGTGCTTCCTCTTCCCCACCCTCTGGAGACGCGCCGCTCGTGGGAACGCGCGCGTGTCGAGGGGTCGCGGCTAAGCTCTGCTCCCTGCAACGAGCCCACGGTTGGCGGGTTGCGCGGGGTGTGTGAATAGAAGCCCGAACTGGCGCGATCTCCTTCCATCTGCCCGTGTTGGAAGCGGGATCCCCTTAGGATCGGGGCTGCGGGCTTGCTGGCCCCAAAGCGGGTCGCGGGAAGGTCATAAAACGAGGCTTCCACCCTTCTGCCTTGTTTCAGCCCGGAGCGTCCAGTGGGGGTATCTTCAACCCGGGGTAGGGGGCTTAGCAGGACGTGAGAACGGGCAGGTTGAATTTGGGAAAGAGGGAGGAGGGGCTGCACCAGATCCGTCCTCGCCCCCCCCCCGCAGAGCAGGGGGCTTCTGAGCCCCCCACAGATGGCTTTTGCCCCCCCCCCCGCTGACACCCATTAGGATGTTTTTCCAAAGAAGGGGCTTTCAAGGGGCAGACGCAGTTGAGATGCTCCAAAGAAGGGTGGACAATTTTACCACCTGTGGACTTCAACTCCCAGAATCCCTGAGCCAGCCGGGGGGAATTCTGGGAATGGAAGTCTACAAGGAAAGTTCCCATAGATGCTCACCCTAACACTAGAACCGTGTTTATGAACCTCAGCAACTTTAAAATGGGTGGACTTCAACTCCCAGAATTCACCACTTAGTGTAAAGTCGCTGACCTTGCTGGGGAATTCTGGGAGTTGAAGTCCGCCCCCCCCCCATTCCCTTAAAGCTGCTGAGCTGGCTGGAGAATTGTGAAAGTTGAAGCCCGCTCTGTCTCTTTAAAATTGCTGAGCCGGCTGGGAAATTTTAAGCAGTTGAAGTTCCCCCAAACCTAAAGTTGCTGGGATCGACAAATGTCAATCTAGATCTTGCCCTAATCATGGGAGGTGTTCTTCAATAGGTGATGGGGGGGGGAGAGATTTGTCCTGTTCTCTCCCCAAAATAAACAAGGGCTCTTTTGTCCAATGGTGAGATGGAATAAATAGTATCCTGGTGGATAAAAATTCCGAGGAAATAGGCCATGGGGGAGGTGGCCAGGATTTAGTGCGGTTCTAAAAGTTTCAGTTCAAAAACGTGAGGGATCCCTTAGTGCTCTCCAAGCTGGTGCTTTTCTTGCAGACGTTTCGTGACCCAACTAGGTAGCATCATCAGTGCTACCTAGAAGGGAGGGGGGTTTATGGAGAGGAGGAGGAGGAGGAGGAGGAGGAGGAAGATGACAATTGTGGGGTCCTTGGTGCTTTCTGAGCTTGGTGGGTTCCTTGCAGATGTTTCATGACCCAATGAGCTGACATCATCTCCCTCCTAGCACTGATGATGTTCCCTAGTTGGGTCATGAAATGTCTGCAAGAAAATCACCCAGCTCAGAGCACCAAGAACCCCACAGTACTTCGCTTCCTTCTCTCCTCCTCCTCCTGTTCTTCCTCCTCCTCCTCCTCCCTGCAAATCCCCCTCCCTTCTTCTACCACTGATGATGTTGCCTAGTTGGGTCACAAGACGTGTGCAAGAAACCTGCCAAGCTCAGAGAGCACCCAGGACCCTATCATTCCACCCTGAGCTACAATATTCTCCTTTATTGTGGAGATTCATGCTTAACCTCCAGGATAGTAGCTCCCCACCTTTGTTCTCCAGATCTGGGGTTCAAGAGACTAGGAAGGATGGATCCTCTGATCCTTTGCACTCTCAAAAGATGACTCCCATTCCTGACCAAGGACCTGCTCTGATGCTTCTGCCCTTTTCATGCGCAGGTGATGTCCATGGTGTTGCTGGCTATCGGAATGTATGCTCGGCTGATCAAGCATGCAGGTGAGGCCTTGTCAACAGGGGTTCCATCAACAAGAGACAGGTAGCCTTCAAACTTACGACCACAATTGAGGCCAGAATTTGCGTTGCTAAGTAAGACATTTGTGAAGTGAGTTTTGCCCCAGTCTACCAACTTTCTTGCCACAACAACAACAATAACAACAACAACAATAATAATAAAGTTGGAAGGGACCTTGGAGGTCATCTAGACAGGAAACCCTATACTAGGGGTAGGCAACCTTGGCTCTTTTATGATTTGCGGACTTCAACTCCCAGAATCCCTGAGCCAGCATGGGGCTATGGCCCCCTCATGACTTGCGGACTTCAACTCCCAGAATTCCTCAGCCAGCATGTCTCAGCTTGGAAATTCTCCCTTTCCCCTCAGCGTGGCTGTCTCAGGAATTCTGGGAGTTGAAGTCCACCAGTCATAAAAGGCAAGGTTGCCTACCCCTGGTCTAGGAGGCTCACCGCTTAGAACAGGAGGACTTAGGACAGGGGTAGGCAACCTTGGCTCTTTTATGACTGGTGGACTTCAACTCCCAGAATTCCTGAGCCAGCATGGGGGAACTATGGCCCCCCTCATGACTCTTGGACTTCAACTCCCAGAATTTCTGAGCCAGCATGGCTCAGCTTGGAAACCTCTCCCTTTCCCCTCAGCATGGCTGGCTCAGGAATTCTGGGACTTGAAGTCCACCAGTCATAAAAGAGCCAAGGTTGCCTACCCCTGCCCTATACCATTTCAGACAAATTGTTAAATAAATCCCTGCAGTTGATTAGTAACACCGTTATAAAGTGAGTCTGGCTTTTTTCCGGTGCCGTTGTAACTTCGGACAGTCACTAAAGTCGAGGACTTAACAGTCATCCATTTCCCCAGGAACCTGCAGTTAGTCCTCGACTTACAACAGTTGGTTTAGTGGCCGTCCAAAGTTACAACAGAGCTGGAAAAGATGATTTATGACGATGTTTCACACTTGCGGCCGTTGCAGCAGCAGCAGTGATCAAAATTCAGACACTTGGCAACTGACTCAGATTGATGACGGTTGCAGGGTTTGTGTGATCCCTTTTGTGACCTTCTGACCAGCAAACCCAATGGGGGGGGGGAAAGCCAGATTCACTTAACAGAGGGCTTATTAACTTACCAGCGGCATGATTCACTTAACAACCGTGGGCAGAAAATTCATCAAATGGGGCAAAACCCACTTAACTACCTTAGCGACGGAAACTTCGGCTGCAGTCGTGGCTGTAAATCGACCATGTGTATCAAGTCTCCTGTTTGAGCAGGGGTCAGACTGGAAGACCTCCAAGGTCCCTTCCAGCCTAGGAATATATGGTTTAAGTCAGCGGTCTCCAACTTTTGAGGCTTGGTGGACCAGCTGGGGGGGAGGAGAGTTTGAGCTGTGCGTGTGTGTGCCTGCCCACGGCCCGGTTGTGAAGAGGCCATGGTAGTGGGCCACAGCCCGGGGATTGTGGACCTAAGGTTTAAGTCAGGGGTCTTCAAACTCAGTCCTTTTATGACTCATGGACCAACTCCCAGAATTCCTCAGCCATGCACGCTGGCTGAGGAATTCTGGGAGTTGAAGTCCACAAGTCCTAAAAGGGCCAAGTTGGAAGACCCCTGCTTGTGGGCTTCAACTCCCAGAATTCATCAGCCAGTCAGGTACGCTGGCTGAGGAATTCTGGGAGTTGAAGTCCACAAGTCCTAAAAGGGCCAAGTTGGAAGACCCTTGGTTTAAGTGAAAGGGAGCAGACAGGCTTGGTTGATCCAAAATCATCGCTCGGTAGACGAAAATGGACAAACACATTTCTCTGCCTTTCGTCCCTTCCACAGAAGCAGCCGTGGCTTGTCTTGCTGTGGATCCGGCCGTTCTGCTCCTGGTCATCGGTGTCCTGATGTTCTTCGTCACGTTCTGTGGCTGCGTGGGCTCCTTGCGGGAAAACATCTGCCTGCTGCAGACGGTGAGGGGGGGGTCCTCCCTGAGACAATCAACGGCAAGGGTGAAATTCATGTAGGCCTCGACTTATGATGGTCAACTGAGTGCAACATTTCTGTTGCTAAGCGAGACCTTTGTTAAGTGAGCTTTGCTCCACTTTACGACCTTTCATGCCTCCGTTGTTAAGTGGATCACTGCAGTGGGGTGCCCCAGGGCTCTGTTCTGGGCCCAGTGCTCTTCAACATCTTCATCAACGATCTGGACGAGGGGATAGATGGGGAACTCATTAAATTTGCAGACGACACCAAGCTGGCAGGAATAGCCAACACTCCAGAAGACAGGCTTAGGATATAGGAGAATCTGGGCAGACTCGAACACTGGGCACTATCCAACAAAATGAAATTCAATGGTGAAAAAAGCAAGGTTCTATCTACGTTTAGGCAAGAAAAACCAAATGTTCAGGTATAGTATAGGGGGTACCTTGCTCAATAGTAGTAACTGTGAGAGGGATCTCAGAGTCCTAGTAGACAATCATTTAAATATGAGCCAGCCGTGTGCTGCAGCTGCCAAAAAGGCCAACACAGTGTTAGGCTGCATTAACAGAGGGATAGAATCAAGATCAGGTGAAGGGTTAATACCACTTTACAAGGCCTTGGTAAGGCCACACTTGGAATACGGCATCCAGTTTTGGTCACCACGATGTAAAAAGATGTTGAGACTCTAGAAAGAGTCCAGAGAAGAACCACAAAGATGATTAGGGGACTGTAGGTTAAAACATATGACGAACGGTTGATGGAATTGGGTATATCTAGTTTAATAAAGAGAAGGACCGGGGGGGGGGGGACATGAGATCTATCTTCCAATATCTCGGGCTGCCCCAGAGAAGAGGCAGTCAAGCTATTCTCCAAAGCGACAAGAAGCAATGGATGGAAACTCACCAAGGAGAGAAGCAACCTGGAACTAAGGAGAAACTTCCTGACAGAAAAATTATCCAATGGAACAACCTGCCTCCAGAAGCGCTGAACGCTCCAATATTGGAAGTTTTTAAGAAGAGATTGGACAGCCATTTGTCTGAAATGGTATAGGGTTTCCTGCCTGAGCAGGGGGCTGGACTAGATGACCTCCAAGATCCCTTCCAACTATTATTATTATTATTATTATTATTCATTTTTGACTGAGATGGGCGGTGATAGAAACGGAATTTTTAAAAAAACCAATATTTTGCCCCCACAGTTCTCCTTCTGCTTGACCCTGCTCTTCCTACTGCAGCTGGCTGCCGGTGTTCTCGGATTTGTCTTCTCTGACAAGGTCAGTGGAAAAAGACTCCGGCCTGCTCAGGGCACAGAGAATGTGAGGAAGGGTCCTCGGTGCTGGCTGAGCTGGGTGGCATTTTTGCAGACATTTCATGACCCAACTAGAGATCATCGTCAGTGCTGGTAGACTTCCCTGTCAGTGTTGGTGATAGTGGTCTTGGCAGTTTCTTTGGTCCAAGAACACCCCCACCATCACTGATAGGACAAGCCGCTAGAATATAAACTGGGAACAAACCCTACTCCTTCCCAGCACTGAAGATGTTCCCTAGCTGGGTCATGAAACATCTGCAAGAAACCCATCCAGCTCAGAGAGCATCAGGGACCCCACAGTCCTTCCTTCCTTCCTTCCTTCCTTCCTTCCTTCCTTCCTTCCTTCCTTCCTTCCTTCTTTCCTTCCTTACTTGCACTGATGCTGTACCCTAGCTGGGTCATGAAACGTCTGCAAGAAAACCACCCAGCTCAGAGAGCACTAGGGACCTCATAGTTCTCCTTTTTTCCTTCCTTCCTTCCTTCCTTCCTTCTTTCCTTCCTTCCTTCCTTCCTTCCTTCCTTCCTTCCTTCCTTCCTTCCTTCCTTCCTTCCTTCCTTCCTTCCTTCCCCTTTCCACTCCCTTCTAGCACTGATGCAGCTTTTACAGGAAAAAAAAATACTTGGGGTAAATAGTTGGGGTAAAGAGAAGATCGGCTCTCACCCAGTTTCATCCGCGTTGCTTTCAAAGTGCTTGGTAGTAAGTTTGACTTCGGCTGTCACCAGCTTAATGACGAGCCATATTGCTATGGCCGGTCTTTTCCCCGTCGGTTTGAAGAGCTGCCCTGGATCAAGCGGAAGGGCTGCTGTCCTTCCGCGATCAAGCCGGGGTCCTCTCCTTGCTCGTCGCCCCTACAGAGCGACTTTTGACCCTTTCCAGGGTCTCCCAGTGGGATAAAACCGGACGCTGAAGACGGAGCTCGCCTCCATACGTCTGCCAGTACCGCGATGACAAACCGGAAGTTTTCGTCCTCTTCTTTCCACAAATCCTGCTGGGTTCTAACCACTGGGCCACCGTGCCTCCTGTCTAGTCCCTGTCCTGCTGCAGAAAGAGCACCTTCCCTTATGTTCTCAGATCAATACAGATGTTACACTATGTTGTGTGCCCTGCACAAGGTTTAACACGACTAATATAGAATACAAGTAAATTCTTTTTTATTATTATTATAAATTTTATTGGTTTTCTAGTATTACAACTACGTAATCGAAAAGCAACGTGGCGACTGAGTTACAATAATCCAATTAGATACAAATATGATTGGTACAAATCTCAGCCTAATACAGTAAATATTTCCTCTTAATATACGCTGTCTCATATTTGAATTAACACAATTTTTATTCTAAAATCACATAGAAGCAACTTTCTTACATTTTTTCCAATAGTTTTTAGTTTATATATATGTTATTTATATTAACACTAAATCTTTTTGACAATCAATAACCTAATGACTTTTCCCCGATTTTGATTTATCATTAATATTTAGATCAGTGGTTCTCAACCTGTGGGTCGGGACCCCATTTGGGGTCGAGCGACCATTTCACGGGGGTCGCCAATCAACGCAGTCCGCCATTTTTTTCCCCTTTTCCTTAGCTGTGCTACTCCCTTTTATTCTATTGGCTTTTGAAAGCCAATAGAATAGACTCTCTTGAATAGAGTCTAATTCTATTGGCTTTCAAAAGCCAATAGGAATTGTCCAGGCTGTCTCTGCCCTGCTGAGCCCGCCAAAAGTCCCATTCTGCAAACGATGCTGCACCAGTTGAGTAGTCCTCGACTTATGACCGGTTGAGTAGTCCTCGACTTACGACCGGTTGGGGGTCGCGGCCTTAAAAAGGTTGAGAACCACTGATTTAGATTTAACATTTAATATTGTTCGTTTCCAAATTATAAATGACCCCAATTCCCTTTATCACAATTCCTCACGAAATCTGATGTTCAGGATACACGTCTAATTTTGGCTACTAAGTTAAGATATTTGGAAATCATTAGAAAAATAAAAATATTATACTATAAAAATATTATTATTAATTTGTTGATGTAAATGGCAAGAACGTAAATAGAATTCTCCTTCGGGCCCAACTTGTGTTTCCCTGTCCACGTTGCAGAGAAAGCTTTCAACGTGGTTTAAGAGAGGAGACGGCGTAAAATTCTATATCAATATCATTTGTTGAAAAAAAAAAGGTGTTTTCTAAATGAGCCATCCTCTCCCCTTTATTCCAGGCCCGGGGGAAGATGAGCGAAGTGCTCAACAAGGCGATTGTGTACTACCGAGATGACTTGGACCTGCAGAACCTGATTGATTTGGGGCAGAAGGAGGTAGGGTTTGGTGGGACCATTCAGAGATTCTTTGGTCTTCAAAACCCCAAGAGCTGGTTGGGTTGCCCAATGGCAGAAGAAGGCCATGAGCAAAAGGTTGTCCATGCTGGAGCCCCACCCTCCCTTTCAAACTGGAGCTGGTGGTGGGACCATCCAGGAGTTAAGAGGACATGTCAAAAGCAGGATCTTTGAAGGACACTCCGGAACTAGGGTGGGGTGTGTTTTTTATCGTGATTATGGATTGTTACGAAGTGTTGTAGTCTTATGCTTCGTAGAATCACACACCAGGAAGGGACCTTGGAGGTCTTCAGGGGTCTCCAAGCTTCACAACTGTAAAGACTTGTGGATTTCCACTCCCAGAATTCCCCAGCCAGCATGGTTTAAGATGGGTGGACTTCAATTCCCAGAATTCACCACCCAGCAGGCATTAAAGCTGTCAAGTTTGGGCAGCCCTGCCTTATACCAATCATTGGCAGATCTCTCTTAATTTTTGGAAAGACACAAGAGGCCGTGACAGTCATCCTTTCTCCATACTATCTTTCTGGAGAAGCAGCAGCCCTACCAGAGTGAACTTAGAACCTAGAATAACAAGATTGGAAGGGACCTTGGAGGTCTTCTAGTCCAACCCCCTGCTCTGACAGGAGATCCTATTACATTTCAGACAGGTGACTGTCCAATCTCTTCTTAAAAACCTCCAGTGATGGAGCACCCACAACATCTGGAGGCAAGCTATTTCACTGATTAATTGTTCCCACTGTTAGGAAATTTCTTCTTAGTTCCAGATTGTTTCTCTCCTTGGTTAGTTTCCATCCGTTGTTTCTTGTCCTGCCTTCAGGTGCTTTGGAGAATAGCTTGACTGCCTCTTCTTTGGGGCAGCCCCTGAGATATTAAAAAACTGTTATCATGTCTCCCCTCGTCCTTCTCTTCATTAAATTAGACGTACCCAATTCCAGCAACCGTTCTTCCTAGGTTTCAGCCTCCAGCCCCCTAATCATCTTTGTTGCTCCTCTCTGCGCTCTTTCTGGGGTCCTACAATCATTTATTTAGCAAGTCATGAAGGCGCTGAAAAAAAGTGGTTTACGAGCAGCCTCTCCTTCCTTTCCGTGTAGTTTGGCTGCTGCGGTGGCGTCTCCTACAAAGATTGGTCCCAAAACATGTACTTCAATTGCACACCCCAAAATCCCAGCCGGGAAATGTGCTCGGTGCCTTATTCCTGTTGCCGGCAACTGGAAGACCAGGTAGGCAAAAAACGGAAAGCTGCTTCTGTGGAGAAGTTCCCACGAAGTCCAGAGACGGATCCAAAATCAGGGGGTCCTTTCTAAATGCAATTTATTTGGCTCACCAACTCACAAGAATTGACTCTGGACCGTGTGCAATGAAGATGTAAAGCAGGGGTCTTCAAACTTGGCTCTTTTAGGACTTGTGGACTTCAACTCCCAGAATTCCTCAGCCAGCCTCCATTTTGTTTGTTAGATTTGTTAGATTTAAGACTTGGGGTCTCAAACAAACTTGGCCCTTTTGTGACTTGGCTGGATGAGGAATTCTGGGAGTTGAAGTCCACAAGACCTAAAAGGGCCAAGTTTGAAGACCCCTGAGATAACTGGTGCTTAAAACCTCTTTTAAGTCGGTGTTTCTCAGCTTTGGGGCCTTTAAGATGGGTGGACTTCAACTCCCAGAATTCTCTGCCTGGGGAATTCTGAGGGAGTTGAAATCCACCATTTTAAGGCCCGAAGGTTGAGAAACGCTGACTTTTACATGTTTTACTCGCTTCCTGTTGTGGGACTGGAGAAATGTAGAAAACCAAACATCACCACATTCCCCCCCTCAAATAAAATATAATTTCAATGCAAACCAAAGTCACTTACGCTTCGTCAATGTTGGGATGAAAAATTTTATTCATGAATCCTAGGAAGGAGAGAAACACGAGAGATGTGAGAACGACTGAGCATCAAGCAAACATTCAGCACTTGCCAAAAGGAGATAGAAGAGCGAAACGGAGGAAAAAGTTCTCTCAGATTCAATCCTCTAAATCAGGGGTCTTCAAACTGGGTCCTGTTATGACTTGTGGACTTCAATTCCCAGAATTCCTCAGCCAAGCGTGCTGGCTGAGGAATTCTGGGAGTTGAAGTCCACAAATCATAATAGGGCCAAGTTTGAAGACCCCGGATATAAAGTAATATAGGCAGTCCTCGACATACGATGGTAATACTGGTAGTCCCCAACTTATGGCCACAATTGAGCCCAAATTTTTGTTGCTAAGTGAGACATTGGTTAAGTGAGCTGTGTCCCATTTTACGACCTTTCTTCCCATGGTGGTTAAGGGAATCACTGTGGTTTTTAAGTGAGTCACACGGTGGTTAAGTGAATCCGGCTTCCCCCACTGACTTGGCTTGTCAGAAGGTCAGAAGAAGGGGTTATATATAACCCCAGGACACTGCGACCGTCGTAAATAGGAGTCACTTGCCAAGCATCTGAATAGTATGCACACCCGTTTGTGTGTGTGTGTGTGTGTGCGTGTGTGTGTGTTTTAAAAGTAAAACATTTTTACTTCCTCTGCCAATTTTTACCATTCAGTTTATCCCAAATATGTGCGTCCCTTATTTACTTGCTGCTCTGGGAATAATAATAATAATAATAATAATAATAATAATAATAATACCTGGTTGACAGCTAGGATGCTGGTAGCAACCCGTGTCAACCATCAGCGCCAGCTGATTTGAGTGTTCAGTTGACTGAGGTTCATGTTTAATGAATAAAAGATAATAATAATACTAATAATACTACTAATACTAATACTAATAATAATAATAATAATAATAATAATAATAATAATAGAGTTGGAAGGGACCTTGGAGGTCTTCTAGTCCAACCCCCTTCTCAGGCAGGAACTGTCGATGCAGATCAGAAAAGTCAGTGGATGCTGGTTTGGGGTGTAGCTTTGCCTGAGGATCCCCCTTTGTGTGTGACCCTTTTTGGTGTGTTTTCCTGCACAGCTGGTCATCAACACCATGTGTGGCCAAGGGGTGCAGAGGCTCAGCTACCCAGTAGCCAGCGAAGTCATCCACCCCGATGGCTGCATCCATCGGCTGGTGGACTGGATGCACAGCAACCTCCTGCTCGTGGGCGGGGTGGCCCTGGGCCTTGCGCTTCCCCAGGTAAGAACGGGAGGGGAGGGGAGGGAAGAGGAGAGACAAGGAGAGAAGAGAAGGGCATGGAACAGAGAATGGAAGGAAAGGGGAGAGGAGAGGGGAGGGGATGGAAGAGAAGAGAGAAGGAAAGAAGAGAGAAGAGAAGGGAATGGAATGGAATAGAAGGGAAGGAGAGAGAGGGAAGGAGAGGGGAGGGGCGGGAAGAGGAGAGAAGGAGAGAAGGGAATGGAATGGAATAGAATAGAATGGAATGGAAGGAAAGGGGAGACGGGAGGGCAATTAACCAGTGGAACCACCTGCCTCCAGAAGCGCTGAATGCTCCAACCCTGGGAGTTTTTAAGAAGAGACTGGACAGCCGTTTGTCTGAAATGGTATAGAGTTTCCTGCCTGAGCAGAGGGTTGGACTAGATGACCTCCAAGGTCCCTTCCAACATTATTATTATTATTAAATGGAATAGGGAAGGGAAGGGGAGAGAGGGGAGGGGAGGGGAGAGGAGAGGAGGGAAGGAAAGAAGAGAGAAGACAAGGGAATGGAATGGAATGGAATAGGGAAGGGAAGGGGAGAGAGGAGAGGAGAGGAGAGGGGTGGGGAGGGGAGAAGGAGAGGAGAGAAGACAAAGGAATGGAATAGAGAAGGGAAGGGGAGGGGAATGGAATAGAAAAGAAGAGAAGAGAGAAAAGAGAAGAGGAAATAGAATAGAATTAGAATTAGAATATTCTTTACTGGCCAAGGGTGATGGGAGACACAAGGAATCTGTCTCCAGGGCAGAAGCTCTCAGGGCCCGTACAGAGGGAGGACTCAGTTCCAACCTTTGCCCCTGCGGGCGACTCCGAAGGTCTCCTTGCGCAGGGCAGGTGGGGATGGATGCCTCCCAGGCCAAATTACAGCTAGTCTTCAACATATGACTGTTCACTTAGCCACCATTTGACCATGCAACCCTCGTAAATAGTTAGTTGCCAAGCGTCCGAATATGGATCCCATGACCGCAAGGACACAACCACGGTCGTAAGTGTGGGTCCTCGGTCCCTTTTTTTCAGTGCCCTTCTAACTTTGAGCAGCCACTAATAATAATAATAATAATAATAATAATAATAATAATAATAATAATAGTAATAGTAAAGTTGGAAGGGACCTTGGAGGTCATCTAGTCCAACCCCCTGCTCAGGCAGGAAACCCTACACCATTTCGGACAAATGGCTGTCCAGTCTCTTCTTAAAAACTTCCAGTGTTGGAGCATTCACCGCTTCTGGAGGCAAGCTGTTCCACTCCATCTGGTCATGTTTCCCATCTGGAGTAGAGAGGGGAAGGGCTGGAAAAAACCTTGGAAAATTTGGGAAGAAAACAGATTTTTTTTGTCCAGTTTTTTTCTCTGTTTTGGGGGGGGGACTTTTCCACCCAATTTTTTGGGGTTGTTTCCCCTCCCCCACGCTTTCCCATCTCTACTTCGTACGAGTGATAAACTCAAAGTGGGGGAGACAGATGGGGTCTCCTTTAGTCCACCCACCTGCTGATGAGACAGCCTGAACATTTCTCCTGTTGTGTGTCGTTTGTGTTTGTGTCTCCTCTCCCCTACCCCACCGGCGCAGCTGATCGGGATCCTCTTGTCCCAACTCCTGGTCAGTCAGATCAAAGACCAAGTCAGATTCCTGAGCTATAGCCAGCAGCATCGGGCCGATTACTGGTAGCAAAAGGACAAGCGTCAAATGACCAAAATGGCCACTTGGTTGAGGACCAGAACATGTCCAAGGATTTCCTGATGGACCTTGATATGGATACTCATCAAGGAGAGAAGCAGCCTAGAACGAAGGAGAAATTTCCTGAGACTGAGGACAATTAATCAGTGGAACTACTTGCCTCCAGAAGTTGTGGATGCTCAACCAACTGGAGGCTTTAAAGAAGAGACTGGACAGCCATTTGTCTGGAATGGCATGGGGTCTCCTGCCTGAGCTGGGGGTTGGACTAGAAGACCTCCGAGGTCCTCTTCCAACTATATGATTCAATGTACAATTTGGAGAAATAAGGAGGAATTTCCTGTGGAACTGCTTGCCTCCAGACGTTACGAATGCTCCAACACTGGACGTTTTCAAGAAGAGATTGGACAACCCTTTGTCTGAAATGGTCTAGGGCAGTGGTTCTCCACCTGTGGGTCGGGACCCCATTTGGGGTTGAACGACCATTTCACGGGGGTCGCCAAACAACGCAGTCCGCCATTTTGTTTTCCCCTTTTCCTTAGCTGTGCTTCTTCCTTTTATTCTATTGGCTTTTGAAAGCCAATAGAATAGTCTCTCTTGAATAGAGTCTAATACTATTGGCTTTCCAAAGCCAATAGGAATTGTCCAGGCTGCCTCTGCCCTGCTGAGCCCGCCAAAAATCCCATTCTGCAAACGGTGCTGCACCAGTTGAGTAGTCCTCGACTTACGATCAGTTGAGTAGTCCTCGACTTATGACCAGTTGGGGGTCGCCGCATTAAAAAGGTTGAGAACCACTGGTCCAGGGTCTCCTGCCTGAGCAGGGGGTTGGACTAGAAGACCTCCAAGGTCCCTCCCAGCTCTTGTTATTCTGTTATTCTTTGGGAGGTGGGAAGATCTCCTTCCAGCTGAACTTCCACGGACTTTGGAGGCGGACCCCACCTTCTCTCTTTCTCCAGAATTTGGGGAGAAGATCCCTGTTAGGTGGACTTTTGAGGGAGCAGGATAAGAAGAAGCGTTGGAGAAAAAGCCACTGAGAAGGACAATTAAGGAAATGGACCAAGGGGTCATGGAAGAAATCTGGATAGGTTTCTCACTCAAGTCCCATAGGACCAGGCCCCGATCCTCCGACTCTGGAGACTTTTATGGGAAGATCCATTTCTCTGGAGAAGGCTTTGATGCTGGCCCGGTGGACATGAAGATGAGGACCAGGGAGATGGATTCGGTTAGGATGGGGGCACTACCGGAAGTCTCCAGAATCAGACGGGAGACAGATTGTCCTGTACAACATCTGTGTGGTTGCTAAGAATTCACACCAGCTTGATGGCACACACTGTTAGTTGTTGACTCCTGACCACAACTGAGCCCAAAATTGACACTGCAAAACGAGACATTTCTCCAATGAAATTTTGCCCCATTTTACAACCTTCTTGCCACCGTTGTTAAATGAATCATTGCCGTTGTTAAGCGGGGAACACAGTTGTTAAGCGAATCCGGCTTCCCCCGGTCAGAAGGTTGCAAAAGGGATCATGTGGCCCTGGGACACGGCCACCGTCGTAAGTATGAAGCAGTTGCCAAGCGGCTGGATTTTCCTGTGGGAGGCTGCAACGGTCGTAAATGTGAAAAATAGCCATAACTGCCGTGGTAATTCCAAACGGTCACTAAACGAACAGTTGTAAACCGAGGACTTATCTGTAGTGCGGTGTGGCAATGAGTGGACTTCATTTCCCAGAATTCCCCAGCCAGCAGTCTATCCTTCAAATAAAATGGCATATACTTCTATATGTATATTTGTGTGCCTGTGGCCATGTTGGTGGTCTGGATTTTGATCACAACAAAGAGGAAGCAGAAGAGGGGGGTCAAAGGGCTCCGATTGGCTTAGACTCAAAATCCCTAGAGCTGACCCCCCCCCAGGAGTGAGCCCCTCCCTGCTGATCCCCTTAGTGGCCAGCCCCTCCCTGCTGACCCCCCCCAGGAATCAGCCCCTCCCTGCTGACCCCTCAACCCCTCCCTGAAGACCCCCAGCAACCAGCCCCTCCGTGCTGACCCCCCAGGAACCAGTCCCGCCCTGCTGACCCCCCCTCCCTGAAGACCCCCCAGCAACCAGCCCCTCCCTGCTGACTCCTCCAGGAACCAGCCCCACCCTGCTGACCCCCCCCTCCCTGAAGACCCCCCAGCAACCAGCCCCTCCCTGCTGACTCTTCCAGGAACCAGCCCTTCCCTACTGACCCCTCATCCCCTCCCTGAAGACCCCCAGCAACCAGCCTCTCTGTGCTGACCCCCCAGGAACCAGCCCCACCCTGCTGACCCCCCCTCCCTGAAGACCCCCCAGCAACCAGCCCCGCCCTGCTGACTCCTCCAGGAACCAGCCCCTCCCTGCTGACCCCCCAACCCCTCCCTGAAGACCCCCAGCAACCAGCCCCTCTGTGCTGACCCCCCCCAGGAACCAGCCCCGCCCTGCTGACCCCTCCAGGCATCAACCCCCCTGTTAATCCCCCAGCCCCTCCTTGAAGACCCCCAGGCACCAGCCCTTCCCTGCTGACCCCCCCCCCCAGCAGCCAGCCTCTCCATTCTGAGCCCCCCCAGGAATCAACGGCCGGCTCCTCCTCGTTGCCCCCCCCCCAGCAGCCAGCCCCTCCTTGCTGACGTGCACAGGGACGTGGCTCTGGAGCTTCCTCGGAGAAGGGGGGAGCGCGGGGGACCACCCACGCGTGCCCAGCTGTTCCCAGCAAGCGGGGGCTCTGGAGAGAGAGGGAGAGCCCCCCCCACGCCTGTTCCGAAGCCGACAGCGCCACGTCAGAGCTTGGACATCCAGCTGGCCGATGGAGGGGGGGTCTTCCTGGGCTAGGCAGGGGGGGCCCTAGGCCACCCCGACTCCTGGAAAGATTTGCTGGGGTTTGATAAGAGGTGGCTGGCCATGGGGACCCCCTGCAACACCCCTTTGGCCCCTGACTTGGGGGTCCCCTCTGCCACTTCCTGGGTCTGCATCAAACTATGCAGGGGGGGTCTTTCCCCCCAATTTCTAACATCTGTTGAGGTCAAGGGTCCCCTAAATCAGGAGCTCAAATTTTACAGCTGTCTCTTGCCCAACAGGGGTCAACAATGTCAAGATGGCGGCTACCACAGCAACATCTGCAAACATCAGGCACTGGCTCTCTCTTTTTAACAATCCCCTAGCTTAACAATGGAAATTATGGGGTCCTAATTACGGTCGGTGAATCCCATCCTGTGGCAGTGAATTCCACTGTCTTAGAATAGAGCAATAACTTTATTGTCACTTTGAATCTACGCTAATCAGCATACATTAAAATGAAATGTCTTTGCGTGCAGTTGTGTTTTACACAAAAGGCATAAAAGGCGTTTTATGAAAAAAAATTGTTCTGCTTAGTCCAGGGTTAAGGCAACCTTGGCTCTTTTATGACTCTTGGACTTCAACTCCCAGAATTCCTGAGCCAGCCTGGCTCAGCTTGGAAACCTCTCCCTTTCCCCTCAGCATGGCTGGCTCAGGAATTCTGGGAGTTGAAGTCCACCAGTCATAAAAGAGCCAAGGTTGCCTACCCCTGGCTTAGTGGAATCGGCTGTGGTTTTAATTTCAGCGGAGAACCCTGATGCTCAGAGTCACCCAACCTGCTAACCCAGGGTTATGTCAGGTTGAATGTTTTGGAGAGTCAAGAGGACTGTAGAACTCCAGCCTGTGTTAAACCAGCAATCATGGTCCATCAACAGCCTATGTATGGTTAATCCGGGCCTGGCCCAGTTAACTGAAGGCAAGTCCCGCTCTTTGGTTACTCCGGGTTTAGAACCCGCTTGTCTGAATGTGTTACCAATGGGTTCATTCTCCCAGCCTATTTTAAACCTGGATAAGCGGGGTGAAGGGGGGGGGAGAGAGAAGAGAAATAGAGAGGGGGAGAGAGAGAAAGAGAGAAGAAAAATAGAGAGAGAGAGAGAGAAAGAGGAAGGGAGGAGAGGGAGAAAGAAGAGAAATAGAGAGGAAGGGGGAGAGGGAGAAAAGAAATAGGGAGAGAGAAAGAAGGGAGAGGGAGAAATAAGAGAAAGAGAGAAAGAGGAAGGGGAAGAGGGAGAAAAGAAATAGGGAGAGAGAAAGAAGGGAGAGGGAGAAAGAAGAGAAATAAAGAGAGGAAGGGGGAGAGGGAGAAAAGAAATAGGGAGAAAGAAGGGAGAGGGAGAAAGAAGAGAAAGAGGAAGGGGGAGAGGGAGAAAAGAAATAGGGAGAAAGAAGGGAGAGGGAGAAAGAAGAGAAAGAAAAAGGAAGGGGGAGAGGAAGAAAAGAAATAGGGAGAGAAAGAAGGGAGAGGGAGAAAGAAGAGAAATGGAGAGAAGAGAGAGGAAGGGGGGAGGGAGAAAGAAGAGAAATAGGGAGAGAGAGAAAGAGGAAGGGGGAGAGGGAGAAAAGAAATAGGGAGAGAAAGAGGAAGGGGGGAGAGGGAGAAAGAAGACAAATAGGGAGAGAAAGAGAGGAAGGGGGAGAGGAAGAAAAGAAATAGGGAGAAAGAAGGGAGAGGGAGAAAGAAGAGAAAGAAAGAGGAAGGGGGAGAGGGAGAGGGAGAAAAGAAATAGGGAGAGAAAGAAGGGAGAGGGAGAAAGAAGAGAAAGAAAGAGGAAGGGGGAGAGGGAGAGGGAGAAAAGAAATAGGGAGAGAAAGAAGGGAGAGGGAGAAAGAAGAGAAAGAAAGAGGAAGGGGGAGAGGGAGAGGGAGAAAAGAAATAGGGAGAGAAAGAAGGGAGGGAGAAAGAAGAGAAATGGAGAGAGAAGAGAGAGAGGAAGGGGGAGAGGAAGAAATAAGAGAAATAGGGAGAGAGAAAGAGAGAGAGGAAGGGGGAGAGGGAGAAAGAAGAGAAATAGGGAGAGAGAGAGAAGAGGAATAGAGGGAGAGAGCTTTTTTCAGCGCCTCTTTCCCCAACTGGGCGCCCTCCGCTCGCTTGCTCAGCTCCCACAATCCTCGACCAACCGAGGGGGGGGGGAGCACATTTGGGAAGGGCCGCCTTCGGAGCCTCGCGCTTCCCCCGCTCGCCGAGGAGGGGGCTCTGCGGCCCGGGGCGGCCTTTGTGGGGCGCGAGCCTCCGCTTGGGGGGGGGCGCCCTCTCCTCTCCGCCCAGCCAGCCCGTTGGAGCGCACGCTTTTGGGGGGGGGGGGTTATCTTGGTGGGGGAGAGGACGGGACGGCGGGCGGGCTCGGCCTTTGCGGCTGCCTCCCTTCCTCGCCATCCCGCCGCGTTCTTCGGCTCCGAGGCTAACAAAGCCGGGAGGCCCCCGAACTTTGCAAAAAACTTTTTCTTTCCAAACTTTGCAAAAAACTTTTCCTTTCCAAACTTTGCAAAAAACTTTTCCTTTCCAAACTTTGCAACGCTTTTTGCCACGCTTTGCAACACTTTTTCCAAACTTCGGAAAAGTTTGCAAAAACTTCCTTTCCTCCGCACAAAGCGCGGGGGAGGGAGGGAGGGGGAGAGCCCTTTACTCTCCCCCGGGGGGGGGAAACGGGGCGGGAGCATGGCCTGCGCCCCCCGGCTGCCCCCTCCTCGCCCAGCAGCCCCCCAAGTCCCGGGACCGGCCGCCCTCGGGGTGCCCGGCGCGTCCTAGGCGCGCGGTGGGTCTCCCTTCCCCATGGCCGGCGCGGGGGGTCTGCGCGGCGCCCTGGCCTGCTGCTTGCTGGGGCTGCTGGGCGGCGCGGCTTCGCTGAACGGCAGCTCGGAGGATCGGTGCAAGCGCGCGGCGCCCTGCGAGGCCCTCCGGGAGAGCGCCTGCCTGGGCTCGCCGCTGCCCTACGCCGCCACCTCCACGCTGCTGGCCGGGGACTCCAGCTCGCAGGCGGAGGCGCACGACAAGCTGCTGCTCTGGTCCGGTAAGGTTGCGCGCGATCCTGAGAGGAGAAGGGAGGCGGTCGGGACATTCTGCGCAAACGATCCGGCAGGAGCGGGAGGGAGATGGCTTGTTCCCCCGGGGTCGGTGGGATAGGATCGCAGGCTCCGGGGTGTTGGACCTAGAGGTTCCCCCCCAATCCGCTCGCTGCACCCCCCAGAAGGAGCCAGGAAGATGGGTGGGGGCCAGTTTTCCCCCGGGGTCGTCTGTGGATTACGACCGAGGGCACTGGCCCCCCCATCTGCTCCTGCACCCCAAAATGAAGAGGGGAGTCAACTCCCCTCTCCCCGATGGTCGGGCAAGGCGTCCGTGTGATAGGGGCGCTGGCTTTGGGGCAGCGTTCCTGGGGGGGGGGTCCCCAATCCGCTCGTGCACCCCTAACATGAGCCCTGTAGATAAGGTGGGAGTTAACCCCCCCCTCCCCATAGTCGTGCAAGGGGTAGGTGGGATAGGACAAACGTCTCCGGGATGCTGGACTTGGGGGAGGGGTCCCTCATCAGCTTGCTGCACCCCGAAAATGAGTGTTGGAGAGGGTGGGAGGACTCCAACCCCCGTGGTTGTGCAAGGGGTAGGTGGGATAGGACTGACATTTCTGGGGTGTTCGCCTGGGGGGGTCACCAAACCGCTCGTGTACCCCAAAATGAGCACTGTAGGTGGGGTGAGAGTTGGCTTTCCCCCCACAATGGTGCAAGGCGTCAGGTTGGCCCCCGCTTGCCTCAGGGGTGTAGGTCCTGGGGGGGTCCCCATGCACTCCGAGGGTTGAGAAACGTGTTAACACAACACCCTTAATCTGACAATTGAAGTTGTAGCTCTGTGCAACGTTGCATAAGTCTCATTCCCCTGGGTTCACACAACATCCTGGTCCGCCGAGGCTTAAGATTTCATTTGAACTGGCCCAAAAGGGTCTGGCGCGGATTGTGTGGGTGTTTGTTTTTGTGTGTTTGTGCCTCTCACTTCAAAGCAATCGCAGCATCTGCTCTCCAGGCTTAACTCCCCATTTAATCTTTATTTTCATGCCCGGCGTTGCTTCTTTATAACATTAGGCGCTATCGAGGGCCAAAATCTTTCATGTTTCTAATCCTCAAGGTAAGGGGTTTTTTTTTAAAAAAAAAATTGATTGCCAAAGGAAGCTTCTCTCCTGCTCTTCTCAGGCTTGCGAAATGCACCGCGCTGCTGGGATGTCATCCAGCCCCTGTTGTGTGCCGTGTACATGCCGAAGTGCGAAGATGGGAAGGTGGAACTGCCCAGCCAGACGTTGTGCCAGGCCACGCGGGGGCCCTGCACCATCGTGGAACGAGAGAGGGGCTGGCCCGACTTCCTCAAATGCACCACGGATCGTTTCCCTGAAGGGTGCCCGGTAAGGGTCCGCCTCGGCCCCCCGCTGGCAGAGTCAGTGGGCAGGACAGAGATGGAAGGGACCTTGGAGGTCATCTAGTCCAACCCTCTGCTCAAGCAGGGGGCCCTATAGCAGGGGTGGGGAACCCTGGCTTTCTTATGACTTGTGGACTTCAACTCCCAGAATTCCTGAGCCAGTCATGCTGGCTCAGGAATTCTGGGAGTTGAAGTCCACGAGTCATGAAGGGGCCATAGTTCCCTCATGCTGGTTCAGGAATTCTGGGAGTTGAAGTCCACCAGTCATGAGGGGGCCATAGTTCCCCCATGCTGGCTCAGGAATTCTGGGAGTTGAAGTCCCCAAGTCATAAAAGAGCCAAGGTTCCCCATCCTTGCCCTATACCATTTTTAATTTATTTAGCATACTTTATTTATGTATCATACAGTGCAGGGGTAACAGCATAGGTAGTCAGCTTACACAGCAATTCATTTAGTGACCGTTCCAAGTTACAACAGCTCTGAAAAAAATAGTGACTTATGACCGTTTTTCACACTTTACAGCCTCCCCATGCTCACGGGATCAAAATTCAGGGGCCACTGGCTTGCATTTACGACGGTCACAGCGTCGCCGGGATCACGTGATCCCCTTTTGCGACTTGATGAGCAAAATCCAGAGGGAAGGAGTCTGATTCACTTAACAGCCCTCTTGCTAACTTAATAACTGGATGGTGGGGGAGGATTTATACTCCTTGCAGAGAGCTGGTCATTTGCATCCTTTTAGAGAGTCGTTGAGGCCACTTGGAGGTTGACCTGTGTCCTCAGGGTCACCTGAGTGCTGCAAATGGGTGTCCCAACCCTTTCAGCAGTTCCAAGAAGGCTCCACACCCATTTGCACCACTCAGGTGACCCTGAGGACACAGGTGAACCTCCAAGTGGCCACAACGACCCTCTAAAACAGTGGTTCTCAACCTTTTTAATGCCGCGACCCCCAACCAGTCGTAAGGTGAGGACTACTCAACTGGTGCAGCACCGTTTGCAGAATGGGACTTTTGGCAGGCTCAGCAGGACAGAGACAGCCTGGACAATTCCTATTGGCTTTGGAAAGCCAATAGAATTAGACTCTATTCAAGAGAGTCTCTTCTATTGGCTTTCAAAAGCCAATAGAATAAAAGGGAGTAGCACAGCTAAGGAAAAGGGGGAAAAAAAATGGCGGACTGCGTTGTGGCGACCCCCATGAAATGGTCGTTCGACCCCAAATGGGGTCCCGACCCACAGGTTGAGAACCACTGCTCTAAAAGAAGGAAAATGACCAGCTATCTGCAAGGAGTATAAATCCTTCCCTTTCCCCACCATTCAGTCGAAGCCGAAGAAGCTTCTTGGACGAGAAGCGAAACATCTTCAAGGAACAAACAAAAAAGTCCAGTTGCCTCCTTGGGGAAAAAAAAAAAACACACCTTTGGGACCACCATGACTTGGAAGACGGAGAATATCCAGAGAGGCCATTGAAAAATGTGACTTACGAATGGTTTTTTTTTTATATATAACAAATTTTATTAGTTTTCCAGTTTAACATCCCAAGTATTTAGAAAGCAACATGGTGACTGAGTAATGAATAGTTCAATAACAAAACTTTTTGTACATATCTCAGGTTACATTATCAAAAATTCTTCTCTATTTCCCTTAACGTTTGGTATATCATACTAAAACTAGTAAATTTCTAACCATAACAAATTCGGTTAAAGCATTTATCAGTCCATTTTTTGCTTACACATATCCGTATCCTGTTTCTAAGTTTTACCTAACTTTTCATTATAGCAGTCCGAATTTAACCTTTAAGATCCACAGTATTTAAATATCTGGTAACCCAAATTTCCTTTATTTCAGTGGTTCTCCACCTGTGGGTCGGGACCCCATTTGGGGTCGAACGACCATTTCACGGGGGTCACCAAACAACGCAGTCCGCCATTTTTCCGCTCCTTTTCCTTAGCTGTGCTACTCCCTTTTATTCTATTGGCTTTTGAAAGCCAATAGAATAGACTCTCTTGAATAGAGTCTAATTCTATTGGCTTTCAAAAGCCAATAGGAACTGTCCAGGCTGTCTCTGCCCTGCTGAGCCCACCAAAAGTCCCATTCTGCAAACGGTGCTGCACCAGTTGAGTAGTCCTCGACTTACGACCGGTTGAGTAGTCCTCGACTTACGACCGATTGAATAGTCCTCGACTTACGACCGGTTGGGGGGTCGCGGCATTAAAAAGGTTGAGAACCACTGCTTTATTTCATTACACAAAGGTTATAATATCTAAAATACGTATATTACTTACGGATGTTTGGACCATCCTAGCATAACTAATAACTCAGTAAATCCTGTTCTCGTTTCTCTCCCCCCCCAACGCAGAACGAGGTCCAGAACATCAAATTCAACAGCTCGGGGCGATGCGAAGCCCCCCTGGTGCAGACTGACAACCCCAAAAGCTGGTACGAGGACGTGGAAGGTTGTGGGATCCAGTGCCAGAACCCGCTCTTCACCCAGAAGGAACACCGGGAGATGCACGTCTACATCGCTGCCTTCAGCTCCGTCACGATTCTTTGCACCTTTTTCACCCTGGTGAGTGGGAGGGAGCCAGGCCTGGGGTGGAGGAGAGGGAGGGGGGATCTGATCAGGGGCCCAGGCTTAAAAACCGTGGCTAGCCCAGGGGGGGCCAAGAAGCTGGGCTGGTTCACGTGGAGGGGAAGCCTCCTCTGGCTTGAATTCTCCCCTTGCCTTAACATGTCTTCCTGACAAAGCACCGTGGTTGGGTGTCATGTCTAAATTTAAAAAATTGCAGTGATGGCTATGTTGCAATAGTAATAGTAGTAAAGTTGGAAGGGACCTTGGAGGTCATCTAGTCCAACCCCCTGCTCAGGCAGGAAACCCTACACCATTTCGGACAAATGGCTGTCCAGTCTCTTCTTAAAAACTTCCAGTGTTGGAGCATTCACCGCTTCTGGAGGCAGGTTGTTCCACTGATTAATTGTTCTCACTGTCAGGAAGTTTCTCCTTAGTTCTAGGTTGCTTCTCTCCTTGGTGAGTTTCCATCCATCGCTTCTTGTCCTATTCAAACAATAGAATGTTTGAACAAGAGACTGGACAGCCATTTGGCTGAAATGGTGTAGGGTTTCCTGCCTGAGCAGAGGGTTGGACTAGATGCCCTCCAAGATCCTTTCCAACTTTTTATTAGTATTAGTAGTATTAGTAGTATTAGTATTTTAGCTGAGGGTTGAATTGTGGGGTCCTTGGTGCTGCCAGTTCGGTGGTTTTCTGGCGGACACTTCATGACCCAACTAGGGAATGTCATCAGTGCTAGAAAGGAGTGGAAAGGAGGAGAAGGAAGGAAGAAAGGAAAGGAGGGAAGGAAGGAAGGATGGACGGACGGACTGTGGGGTCCCTGGTGCTCTCTGAGCTTGGCGGTTTTCTTGCAGATGTTTCATGACTCAACTAGGGAATGTCATCAGTGCTAGAAAGGAGTGGAAAGGAGGAGAAGGAAGGAGGGAAGGAAAGAAGGAAGGAAGGACTGTGGGGTCCCTGGTGCTCTCCAAGCTTGGTGGTTTTCTTGCAGATGTTTCATGACCCAACTAGGGAACATCATCAGTGCTAGAAAGGAGGGGGGTTGCAGAAAGGAGGAGGAAGACAGGACTGTGGGGTCCTTGGTCCTTGTATATAAACAAAGAGCCAATCCCACTCCCTTCTAGCATTGATGGTGTTCCCTAGTTGGGTCATGAAACGTCTGCAAGAAAACAACAAAGTGCAAAGAACACCAAGGACCCCACAGTCCTCCTCCTCCCTGCAAACCCCACTGGAACTCACCGTCTCCCGGTGATTGGCCCAAAGTCACCCAGCCCGTTTTTCACGCTTTAGGCAGGACTAGAACTCAACCATTTCCTGCTTTTTAGCCTGGCGCCTTCACCACACCGCGTTTTTTTTACCCAGTCATTCTGCTTGCCCTTTCCGGGCGTGAGCTGGTATTCCGCAACCCAGCACCCTCCAGGTGTGCCGGGTGGACAGCTCCCAGAATTCCTAGCTGCTGACATACCTGGAAGGCCGAAAACCCATCTGACCTGCGCTTTCTCTGCAGGCCACCTTCGTAGCCGACTGGAAGAATTCGAACCGTTACCCGGCTGTCATCCTCTTCTACGTCAACGCCTGCTTCTTCGCGGGCAGCATCGGCTGGCTGGCCCAGTTCATGGACGGCGCCCGCAGTGAGATCGTCTGCCGTGCCGACGGCACCATGCGCTTGGGGGAGCCCACGTAGGTTTGGGGGGTTAGTGGGCCTGGCCTGGGGAACCCCTGGCCACTGGGCTGCAGGCAGGGAAGGCTGCAGAAAACCTCATGTTTTGGGAGATTCTCTGTCCTGGTGGTCCCAAAGGTGGTTTTTTTTTCAAAGGGCACCTGGACGTGGTTTTTCCTCGAAGAGGTTTCGCTTCTTGTCCGAGAAGCTTCTTCAGTTCTGACTGAATGGCGGGAGATGGAAGGAGGGTCTTAATACGGGGGCAGGACATTATTTAGAGCAGGGTGATGGGCAATTCATTTCCCCAAGGGGCCGCATGAGAAAATTGGGATTCTTCTGGGGGTGTGTGAACCCCTAGGGCTGTGAAGGTGCAAAGGATGGGGAATTCTGGGGATTTGAACTCCAGGCACCTTAAAATGGGCAAGGTTCAGAAACTCTGACGTGGAGTCCCAAGAATGGCTCTTGGGAAGAGTCGGAAGACTTTTTCACTCGCTTTTGAAGGCATCTGGACTGGGTTGGCACGCCTGGCAGAAAAGATACAATTCATTGACTTTCTCTCTCCCTCTCCCTCCCTCTCTCTGCCTCCCTCCCTTTCTTTCTCCCTCCCTCCCTGCCTCCCCTCCCTTTCTCTCACTCTTTCTCTCTCCCTCTCCCTCCCTTTCTCTCTGCCTCCCTCCCTCCCTCTTTCTGCCTCCCTTCCTTTCTCCCTCCCTCCCTTTCTCTCCCCCTCCCTCCCTCTTTCTGCCTTCCATCCTTCCTCCTCCCTCCCTCTCTTTCTGCCTTCCTCCCTCCCTCCCCTCCTTTTCTCTCTCTGCCTCCCTCCCTCCCTTTCTCTCTTCTTCCCTCCCTCTCTCTCTGCCTCCCTCCCATTCTGTCTCCCTCCCTCCCTTTCTTTCTGCCTTCCTTCCTTTCTCTCACTCTTTCTCTGTCTCTGCCTCCCTCCCTTTCTCTCTCTCTCTCTCCCCCTTCCTCCCTCTCTCTCTGCCTCCCTCCTTCCCTCTTTCTGCCTCCCTTCCTTTCTCCCTCCCTTTCTCTCCCCCTCCCTCCCTCTCTTTCTTCCTCCCTCCCCTCCTTTCTCTCTTTCTCTCTGCCTCCCTCCCTCTCTTTCTCCCTCTCTCTGCCTCCCTTCCTTCTTCCCTCCCTCCCCTCCCTTTCTCTCACTCTTTCTCTCTCTCTCTGCCTCCCTCCCTTTCTCTCTCTCTCTGCCTCCCTTCCTTTCTCCTCTCCCCTCCCTTTCTCTCCCTCTTTCTCTCTGCCTCCCTTTGTTTCTCTCTCCCTCCCTTCCTCCTCTCCCTCTCTCTCTCTCTCTCTCTCTCCCCCCCCCCCCCGTCTCCCTCTCCACAGCTCCAACGAGACCCTTTCCTGCGTGATCATCTTTGTGATTGTCTACTACTCCCTGATGTCGGGCGTGATCTGGTTCGTCATGCTGACGTACGCCTGGCACACCTCCTTCAAGGCGCTGGGGACCACCTACCAGCCGCTGGCAGGAAAGACGTCCTACTTCCACCTGGTCACCTGGTCCGTCCCCTTTGTTCTCACTGTGGCCATCTTGGCGGTGGCCCAGGTAAGGGTGGGGCCGGCTGAGCTCAGGGGAGCTTTGGGCGAGAAGCGGGGCCTTCTCGGCGATGGCGCCTTGATTCTAGAATTCTTCCCACGGAGGAACCGTGGGGGACCTTCTGTTTCCTTCTGTCTCCCTCATGTTTTGGACACAGGTTTATGTCAAGGGTGCTTTTTCAAGACACAGCTGGACTTTCTTGTTTTCCTCTGGAGACGTTTCGCTTCTCATCCCAGAAGCTTCTTCAGGTCTGACTGCAGGGTAAGGAATGGAAAGATTTATACTCCTTGCAGACAGCTGGTCATTTGCATTCTTTCAGAGGGCCGTTGAGGCCACTTGGAGGTTTGTCTGTATCCTCAGGGTATCCTGAGTGGTGCAAATGGGTCTGGAGCCTTCTTGGCTACAGGATGTTTTCTGCCCTGTGTCCCTTCACACCCATTTGCACCACTCAGGCGACCCTGAAGACACAGACAAATGTCCAAGTAGCCTCAATGACCGTCTAAAAGGATGCAAATGACCAGCTCACTGCAAAGAGTATAAATCCTCCCATTCCCCACATCCAGTCACGGTTGAAGTAGCGAAATGTCTTCAGAGAAATAGTAAAGAAGTCCAGTTGCCTCCTGAAAAAACAACCATCACCTGGAAGACGGAGAATCTCCACACACACACACACACACACACACAGAGGTTTCTGGTTCTTGTTAAGTTTACAACTGTGTGACTTGGTTCACCGTTGTTATTCACTTTATTTGTGACATATATACAATTCGTTTAGCAACTATTCGCAGTTAGCAACAGCCCTGAAAACAGGGACAACGGTCATTTTTCACACTTAACCACCGTTGCAGCGTCCTCGTAGTCCCGTGGTCAAAATTCAAACGCTTGGCCACCGATTCCTATTTACGACGGTCGCCGTGTCCCCGGGGTCCTGTGGGACGGCCTCTATCGGTCTGTCCTGTTTTTATTCCATTTTAAGCGTTAAGCGTCCCAGAGTCAGGAATGTGAGTTGGGGAGGCCATATCGATTGATTAAAATAATTAGAGGGAGTTTTTGGACGAGACGAAAGAGTTTTTTGATCACTGTTCCTCTTTTCGAACCATTCCAGGTGGACGGAGATTCGGTTAGTGGCATCTGCTTTGTGGGGTACAAAAACTACCACTACCGTGCGGGGTTTGTCCTGGCCCCTATCGGCCTGGTATTAATTATCGGGGGCTACTTCCTGATCAAAGGTGAGCTTCTGTCCCTCTGGAATCCTCCCTTTGCTTTCCTCTTTGTTCTATACCAGGGGCAGGCGACTCTTGGACTTCAACTCCCAGAATTCCTGAGCCAGCCATGCTGAGGGGAAAGGGAGAGGTTTCCAAGCTGAGCCATGCTGGCTCAGGAATTCTGGGAATTGAAGTCCACGAGTCATGAGGGGGCCATAGTTCTCTCATGCTGGCTCAGGAATTCTGGGAGTTGAAGTCCACGAGTCATAAAAGAGCCAAGGTTGCCTGCCCTAGGCCTAGGCCGCTTTATGACTTGTGGACTTCAACTCCCAGAATTCCTGAGCCAGCCATGCGGAGGGGAAAGGGAGAGGTTCCAAGCTGAGCCAGGCTGGCACAGGAATTCTGGGAGTTGAAGTCCGCAAGTCATGAGGGGGCCATAGTTCTCTCATGCTGGCTCAGGAATTCTGGGACTTGAAGTCCACCAGTCATAAAAGAGCCAAGGTTGCCTGCCCCTGGTCTAGGCCGCTTTATGACTTGTGGACTTCAACTTCCAAAATTCCTGAGCCAGCCATGCTGAGGGGAAAGGGAGAGGTTTCCATGTGAGCCATGCTGGCTCAGGAATTCTGGGAGTTGAAGTCCACGAGTCATGAGGGGGCCATAGTTCCCCCGTGCTGGCTCAGGAATTCTGGGAGTTGAAGTCCATGAGTCATGAGGGGGCCATAGTTCCCCCGTGCTGGCTCAGGAATTCTGGGATTTGAAGTCCACCAGTCATAAAAGAGCCAAGGTTGCCTGCCCCTGGTCTAGGCTGCTTTATGACTGGTGGACTTCAACTCCCAGGATTCCTGAGCCAGACATGCTGAGGGGAAAGGGAGAGGTTTCCATGCTGAGCCATGCTGGCTCAGGAATTCTGGGAGTTGAAGTCCACTAGTCATGAAGGGGCCATATTTTATTTATTTATTTATTTATTTACAATATTTATATGCCGCCCAATCCCAAAGGACTCAGGGCGGCGTACAAAATTAAAAACAGTCGTAAAACAATAAAATAATCCAGTCATACCGCGAGTCCGATCATATTCCGCCCCCCCGGGGACATCAGCCCCAGGCCTGCCGGAACAGGAGAGTTTTAATGGCTTTCTTAAAGGCTGGCAGGGTGGGAGTAGTTCGCACCTCGGGGGGAAGTTTCCCCCATGCTGGCTCAAAAATTCTGGGAGTTGAAGTCCACGAGTCATAAAAGAGCCAAGGTTGCTTACCCCTGGTCTATACAGTATTAACCTTGTGAACTTCAAAGCTGCATCCTTCCGTTATGTATTCAAGATGGACAGTGATTAATATTTACATGTTACTTATATGCAAGGGTGTGGGTCTTTACATGTGTTGTATATAGTATGTTTAAATGTGTGTTATGGATGTGTACATGCATTGCAACAGGTATTTGTGTGTGTGCATGTGCTCACGGATGCATTCACTCTCTCCCCCCTTACAGAAAATGATCCTTTCTTTCTCCCCCTCCCCCCCTCTCCAGCCTGAGGAACTCTGTGCCACAAGGACCCAAACAAGCCTTTTCTTCTTTCCCGCAGGAGTGATGACGCTCTTCTCTATCAAAAGCAACCATCCAGGTCTCCTTAGTGAGAAAGCGGCCAGCAAGATCAACGAGACCATGTTACGCCTCGGTAAGTGGAGTAGGTCCTCACCCGCCCAGCGGCTGTTTATTGTAGACAATCACCTAAATAGGAGCCAGCCGTGTGCTGCAGCTGCCAAAAAGGCCAACACAGTACTAGGCTGCATGAACAGAGGGATAGAATCAAGATCAGGTGAAGGGTTAATACCACTTTACAAGGCCTTGGTAAGGCCACACTTGGAATACGGCACCCAGTTGGGGTCACCACGATGTAAAAAAGATGTTGAGACTCTAGAAAGAGGGCAGAGAAGAGCAACAAAGATGATTAGGGGACAGTTGCTAGAATTGGGTATGTCTAGTTCAGTGTTTCTCAACCTTGACCATTTTAAGGCATGTGGACTTCAACTCCCAGAATTCCACAGCCAGCAATGCTGGCTGTGGAATTCTGGGAGTTGAAGTCCACATGCCTTAAAATGGTCAAGGTTGAGAAACACTGGTCTAGTTTAACGAAGAGAAGGACAAGGGGGGACATGATAGCAGTATTCCAATATCTCAGGGGCTGCCATAAAGAAGAGGGAATCAAGCTATTCACCAAAGCGCCTGAAGGCAGGACAAGAAGCAACGGGTGGAAACTAATCAAGGAGAGAAGCAACCTAGAACTAAGGAGAAACTCCCTGACAGTGAGGACAATTAATCAGTGGAACAGCTTGCCTCCAGAAGCAGTAAATGCTCCAACACTGGAAGTTTTTAAGAAGAGACTGGACAGCCCTTTGTCCAAAATGGTGTAGGGTTTCCTGCCTGAGCAGGGGGTTGGACTAGATGACCTCCAAGGTCCCTTCCAACTTTACTATTATTATTATTATTATTATTATTTAACCACGGTCTGAATGAATAACCGCCTTGGAAAGGGTGCTGTTGCACAGTCACATGCCCTATAAAGTCGTACGGTCCTTCTCCGCAATGGTGATCAGCCTGTCTCATGAATGCAGCCGCTTCTCGGGATCTTCCCACGACCGGAGGCCCTTCTGACGGGTGTCCTTTCGTCCCCAGGGATATTCGGCTTTTTGGCCTTCGGCTTTGTCTTCATCACCTTCGGCTGCCATTTCTACGACTTCTTCAACCAGGCGGAGTGGGAACGTAGCTTCCGGGAATACGTGCTGTAAGTCGGGAGGCGCTGCCTGCGCGTCTCGGGTTTTAAGCAGCCCGGCGTGGATTCGCACCCGTGTCCAGGTTCCCTTGATAACCGATTGCTAAATAAGGGATCCGGAACTTTCAGACCGAGCTCTTTTCTCCGGGCGGCTGTTCTATTAAGGACCCCCGAGAGCCCAATGGCCCACCTCTATGCCAGGGTCCAGAAACCAGCATCAAGCAATGATGGCTTTGCTGAACGAGGATGGGCAGCCCCACTTGGTTCGGGGACCTGAAATCCTGTTCCTGGGTTTGAGAAACGGTTCCAGCTTTCTTTCAAAGGCGTTGTCTTGCTTGGGCTGAATTCTGGTGACATAAAACAGTTGTTGTTTTTTCTCTCCCCATTCTGGCATCCCATTCTGGATCACTTGTTTCTTTTTCTTTTTGCAGTTTTATAACGTTTTGTTGGATTATAGAATAAAATACAATAATGCAAAAGCAAATAATAGGACACAGTGGGGAGGGAAAGGGAAAAGGAAAAAGGAGAGGGAGAAAAGGAAAGAAAAGGTGTTGACCTCCATTGCAGTAGAAGGAAGCATTAACATTGAACCTCAACTTTTTATTTTTCCGTAATAGTGTAAACTAGCCGTTTCTATGACAACAAATTCATCTAATCCAGGCGTCTCCAAACTTGGCCCTTTTAGGACTTGTGGACTTCAACTCCCAGAATTCCTCAGCCAGGCAAGCTGGCTGAGGAATTCTGGGAGTTCAAATCCACAAGTCCTAAAAGGGCCAAGTTTGAAGAGTCCTGTCTTAAATCTAACAAACAAAATGGAGGCTGGCTGAGGAATTCTGGGAGTTGAAGTCCACCAGTCCTAAAAGGGCCATGTTTGAAGACCCCTGTCTTAAATCTAACAAACAAAATGGAGGCTGGCTGAGGAATTCTGGGAGTTGAAGTCCACAAATCCTAAAAGGGCCAAGTTTGAAGACCCCTATCTTAAATCTAACGAAATGGAGGCTGGCTGAGGAATTCTGGGAGTTGAAGTCCACCAGTCCGAAAAGAGCCAAGTTTGAAGACCCCTGTCTTAAATTTAACAAACAAAATGGAGGTTGGCTGAGGAATTCTGGGAGTTCAAATCCACAAGTCCTAAAAGGGCCAAGTTGGAAGACCCGTCTTAAATCTAACAAACAAAATGGAGGCTGGCTGAGGAATTCTGGGAGTTGAAGTCCACAAGTCATCAAAGGGCCAAGGTTGCCTAGACCCCTGCCCTAAACCAATAGTAGTGAGTTGAGGCCCGGCTTGTACTTCTGTTTATTAGGTGGGGTTCCTCAGCCCGTTCCCCCCCTGTGCCGTTTCTCACCCCTCCCTCTTCCCTGCTACAGGTGCGAGGCCAACGTGACCATCGCCACGCAGACCAAGAAGCCGATCCCGGATTGTGGGATCAAGAACCGCCCCAGCCTCCTGGTGGAGAAGATCAACCTCTTTGCCATGTTTGGGACCGGCATCTCCATGAGCACCTGGGTCTGGACCAAGGCCACCTTGCTCATCTGGAAGCGCACCTGGGGCAGGTAGGAAGGAGGGAGGGGGGTGGTGCAGGGGTGCCACCTGCTGGGAGGGTCTGGAATTGAGGGGTCCTCCTAGTCCACGATGCAGAAGGTGCCCCTGTCAAGCGCTAACAACATAACAGCTGGTCCTTGAGTTACAGCTGTCCGTTTAGCGGCCGTTCGGAGTTAGCCCTCGTTCTTGCTCTCTTTTTTTTGTCCCTTTTCTCCCTCTTTCGTTTCTTTCTTTTCTCCTCTGACATTACGGACGCGTCTCCTTGTTCTTGTGTCGATTTTCCTTGCTGTTTTCTCCCTTCCTCTGCTTCCTTCCTTCTAGTTTATTCTTCCTCCCTTTCTTCTCCTTCTCCTTGTTCTCTTCTCCTCCTCTTCCTCCTTTTCCTTCCTTCTCCTTTTTCCAGTTCCTCCTCTTCCTTCTTCTTGTTCTCCTCCTCCTCCTCCTTGCTTCTTCTTTCCTTCCCCTTCAGTCCTTCCTCCACTTCTCCTCCTTTTCCTTTCTTCTTTCCTTCTCCTTTTTACAGTTCCTCCTCTTCCTTCTTCTTCTTCTTCTTGTTCTCCTCCTCCTTCTCCTCCTCCTCCTTCTTTCCTTCCCCTTTAGTCCTTTCTTTCTTCTTTCCTTCTTCTTTTTCCAGTTCCTCCTCTTCCTTCTTCTCCTTCTTCTTGTTCTCCTCCTCCTTCTCCTCCTCCTTGCTTCTTCTTTCCTTCCCCTTCAGTCCTTCCTCCACTTCTCCTTTTCCTTTCTTCTTTCCTCCTTTTTCCAGTTCCTCCTCTTCCTTCTTCTTCTTGTTCTCCTTCTCCTCTTCCTCCTCCTCCTTGCTTCTTCTTTCCTTCCCCTTCAGTCCTTCCTCCACTTCTGCTCCTTCTCCTCTCCTTCCTCTCCTCTCCTTTTTCTACTTCCTACTGTTTCTCCTCCTCCTCCTCTTCCTCCTTCTCCTCCTCCATCTCCTTTTTTCGACCATTCTTACCTCAGTTCTTAAGTGAATCACTGCAGTTGGCTAGTCAGCAACACACTTGTTAAGTGACTCCGGCTTGCCCCACGGACTTTGCTCGTCAGAAGGCCGCCAAAGGGGGGGGGAAATCCCGTGACCCCCCAAGACGCTGCAAACCGTCACGAAGACGAGGCGGTTTGCCAAGCGTCCAAATTTGGGTGAGCAGGGGGACGCTGCGAGAGCCGCAAACGTGAGAAAACGGTCCTGAGTCGGTCCCCAAACGAACCGTCGTAAGTCGGGGACTGCCTACACAGGATGCTTTTGCGTCCTGCGGGGCTCTTGTCGCCACCCCCCCCCAACTTGGAAATTGCGATGTGTTCCGCAAAACTCTGCCGTTTGCTCTTCCGCGGGGGAAATGGGACACTTTCACGGCTATGTTTACCTTTTTGATCCGGAGGGACAAGTCACTTGCCTGAAATGGCCATAGGGTTTCCTGCTGGAGCAGGGGGTTGGACTAGAAGACCTCCCAAGATCCCTTCCAGCTCTATTCTTGATTGAAATCACACACACCCCCTTAGGCCGGGTTGCCAATGGTTGCAAGGGGCAAAGAGAAAGAGGGCGAGAGACTTAAAATAACAAAAGCGACAAGACGGGGCACCCTTCGCCCCACACAGGGGACTGGAGGCTAAAGCATACAAGGAACGGTTGCTGGAATTGGGGATGTCTAGTTTAACGAAGAGAAGGACGAGGGGGGACATGATAGCAGCCTTCCAATATCTCAGGGGCTGCCCCAAAGAAGAGGCAGTCAAGCTGTTCTCCAAAGCGCCTGAAGGCAAGACAAGAAGCACAGGTGGAAAGTCACCAAGGAGAGAAGCAACCTGGAACTAAGGAGAAACTTCCTGACAGTGAGAACAATTAACCAGTGGAACAGCCTGCCTCCAGAAGCAGTAAATGCTCCCAACACTGGAAGTTTTTAAGGAGAGACTGGACAGCCATTTGTCCAAAATGGTGTAGGGTTTCCTGCCCGAGCAGGGGGTTGGACTAGATGACCTCCAAGGTCCCTTCCAACTTTGCTACTATTATTACTATTACAACGCAAGCGCGGGCAGGGTCCCACGCCTCTGTGCCCGAGGGCTCCGGGTCAGGGAGGAGGCCGCTGATGCCCTCTTCCCCCCCCCCCCCAGGCTGACCGGCCAGAGCAGCAACGAGCCGAAGCGGCTGAAGAAGAGCAGGATGATCGCCAAGGCCTTCTCCCGACGGAAGGAGCTGCAGCAGAACCCCCAGCAGGAGCTCTCCTTCAGCCTGCGCACCGTCTCGCACGAGGGGCCGGTCGGTAGGTGTTGGGAGAAGGAGGGGAGAGGAGGGTGCTTGTTCTGGGGGAGGGAAGGGGGAGGGGGGGCGGGGCTCTGGGAGGTTGGGGGCTTCGTGACCCAACTAGGGAACGTCATCAGGGATAGAAGGGAGTGGTGTTTGCAGGGAGGAGGAGGATTGTGGGGTCTGTGATGCTCTCTGAGCTGGGTGCTTTCCTGGCAGACGTTTCGTGACCCGACTAGGGAACATCAAAAGTGGTAGAAGGCATGGGGACTGTAGAGAGGAGAAGGGGAGGAGGATGGACTGTGGGGTCCTTGGTGCTCTCCACGCTTGGTGGTTTTCTTGCAGACATTTCATGACCCAACTAGATAACATCATCAGGGCTAGAAGGGAGTGGAAAGGAGAAGGAAGGGAGGGAGGGAACTGTGGGTCCTTGGTGCTCTTTGAGCTTGGTGGTTTTCTTGCACACATTTCATGACCCAGCTGGATAACATCAGTGCAAGAAAGGAGGGGGATTTAAGAGGGAGGGAGGGAGGGAGGGAGGGAGGGAAGGAAGGAAGGAAGGAAGGAAGGAAGGAAGGAAGGAAGGAAGGAAGGAAGGAAGGGTGTGGTGTCCTTGATGCTGTCTGAGCTTAGCTGTTTTCTTGTAGACATTTCATGACCCAACTAGATAACATCATCAGGGCTAGAAGGGAGTGGGGTATGCAGAGAGGAGGAGGAGGAAGAACTGGGGGTCCTGGGTGCTCTCTGAGCTTGGTTGTTTTCTTGCAGACGTTTCATGACCCAACTGGATAACATCAGTGCAAGAAAGGAGATTTAAGAGGGAGGGAGGGAGGGAGGGAGGGAAGGAAAGAAGGAAGGAAGAAAGGGAAAGAAAGAAAGAATGAATGAATGAATGTGGGGTCCTTGATGCTCTCTGAGCTTGGCTGTTTTCTTGTAGACGTTTCATGACCCAACTAGGTAACATCATCAGTGCTTGAAGGGAGGGGGTTTGGTGGGGGAGGAAGAGGAGGAAGACGACAACAACTCTGGGGCTCTTGATTCTCTGAGCTTGGCTGTTTTCTTGCAGACATTTCATGACCCAACTAGGGAACTAGTGCTGAAGGGAGGGGGGTTATATAAACAGAAAGCAAAGCGCACTTCCTTTTTAGTAGATTGACCGCGATGAAAAGTTACAGCTTTCGATAATTGGTGGAAAATATATTTGTTCCTCCATCCAGCTGGTTTGGCGTTCGATCTCAGCGAACCGTCGGGAGACATGTCCTCGGCTTGGGCGCAACATGTGACCAAGATGGTGGCCAGGAGAGGCGCCATTCTCTCTCAGGACGTCTCGGTCACACCTGTCGCTACGCCAGGTAACGGTTCTCGTCCAGGTTGGATGGGCAGAAAGTCAGGCTGGGCTGTGAAAGAGCTTGGAAGGCCATTGGAAGGTGACCTTTTGGGACACCCCGTGGTGTTTCATCCAGGGGGAGATGTCAATTGTATCTTGACTCACTGCTGCCAGCTGCTGGCCAGACGCAGGAAATGCAAGACAGTCCACCTGTCATACATGCTCCTGGCCTGGAAAGAGAGAGAGAGAGAGAGAGAGGGAGGGAGGGAGGGAGGGAGAGAGAAGAGGAGAGAGGGAAGATATATATATATATATAGAGAGAGAGAGAAGAGAGAGAAAAGGAAGTAGAGAGGCAGAGAGAGAGAGAGAGAGAGAGAGATTTTATCTGCAAATAGGCAACGCCTGGACAAAAACTAAATTTGATTTACTTTATACCAGGGTGGAATGAAAATTAAATGTACAGAGATAATCCTCGACTTAACGACCACAATTCAGATGCTTGGCAACCCTTTTGTGACTTTCTGACGCCATGGGGAAGCCAGCTTCACTTTACAACCGTGTTATTAGCTTAACAACCGCGGCGATTGGCTTCACAACTGCGGCGAGAAAGGTCGCAAAACGGGGCAAAAACTCCCTCGGCAACTCCCGCCTCTCCCCCCCCCTTGGTCTCAGCCGTGGAAATGTGGGGCTCACTAAACATCGGGAAAGTGTAGGGGTTTGGGGTAGATGACCTCCAAGGACCCTAACAACAACAACAACAACATTATTATCGATCATCGCACAGTCAGCCAGATGTTCAGACTGGATTTGGCATTTTGTCTACCTATCGAGTCCTTACCCAGGACCCGGGATAGGCAGATGTGGATGTTTGATGGTATTACAGATATCGTCGCAGGATGGAAGCAGTTCCTAGTAAGGCCGCCTTTTGCAATTGACTAATAGCGAATTTGTCAATGCCAATGGTGTTCAAGTGGTGCTCCAGTTGTTTTGGGATTGCACCCAAGGAGCCTATTACTATTGGTACTACCCTTGCTTGCTTTTGCCACAGTCTTTCTATTTCTATTTGTAGGTCTTTGTATTTTGTTATCTTCTCCAGTTCTTTCTCTTCTATTCTGCTGTCTCCAGGCACTGCCACATCCACTATCCAGACTTTTTTGTCTTTCTTATCGACAATTGTTAAGTCTGGGGTGTTATGTTGCAGGTGCTTGTCTGTTTGAATTCTGAAGTCCCAGAGCAGTTTAATTTTATCATTTTCTATGACTTTCTCTATTTTATGATCCCACCAGTTTTTGCTTACAGGCAAATGATATTTTTTGCAGATCTTCCAATGCACCATTGTTGCTACTTTGTCATGCCGCTGCTTGTAATCAGTCTGTGCAATCTTCTTGCAACAGCTTACCAAGTGGTCCACTGTTTCTTCAGCTTCTTTGCATAGGCGGCACTTACTGTCTGTTGCTGTCTTCTCAATTTTGACTTTGTATGCATTTGTCCTTAAGGCTTGGTCTTGTGCAGCCAGAATTAGTCCCTCGGTCTCTTTCTTCAATTTTCCTGCTCTTAGCCATTGCCAGGTTTTATTATTATCTGCTTTCCCAGCTATTTTTTTCATGTATTGGCCATGTAGTGCTTTGTCTTCCCATGCCTCTATTCTGTTCTTCATTTGGTCTTTCTTGTAGGCCAGTTTGGTCTCTCCAGTAGTTAGTAAGCCTTCCTGATATACTAATTTCAGTGCATCTTCATCATTGTTCTTCAGATATTCTTCCAAAGCCATTTTTTCTTCTTCAACCATCTGATGTACTTGTAGCATTCCACGCCCACCTATTTGCCTTGGTAGATAAAGTCTATCAATGTCACTGCGTGGATGAAGGGCATGATTCATTGTCATTATTTTTCTGGTCTTCCTATCCATTGCTTTTAGTTCTGCTTGAGTCCAGTCCACTATTCCAGCTGTGTACCTAATGACTGGGATTGCCCAGGTGTTGATTGCCTTTATGGTATTTCCTCCATTGAGTTTGGATTTTAAGATCTTCTTCACTCTCTTGATGTATTCACCTCTAATCTTTTTCTTGACTTCAGTGTGCTTGATGTTGTCAGCTTGAAGGATACCCAAGTATTTGTAGTACTCTTCCTGATCTAGACTCTTAATGTTATTTTCGTGGGGCATCTTGATTCCTTCAGTTTACAACATTATTATTATTATTATTATTATTATTATTATTATTATTATTATTATTATTATTATTATGTGGGTTTCGGTTGTGGCCGTTTAGGCAGGGACTCTGTGTAGTACAAAGTGCACCCCGGTGTAAATGCAAAATGTCCATCTGTCCCCTTCTGATCCGTCCCAAAATGAAACCTAGCGGCGTGGGGACAGCTGCCAATCGTCATCTGGGAATCTGGAGGCGCTTTACCTGTGGAATAACGGTCCTCTCCCCCTCCCTTTTCAGTGCCCCAGGAGGAAAGGGCCAGTCACTGGCTGATGGAAGGCGAGTTTTCCTCCAGGCGGGCCAAGAAATCAACCCGGAAGAAGAAGAAGCACAGGAAGAAGAAGGGGGTCAACCCTTCCGGGCCGGCCGCCGAGACCTGCACCCCGAATTACTTCGCCCCGGAGGTCCCCAGCTCCGTCCCACACCTGCCCCGGCTCCCCAGGGCCAAGTGCTTCGTCGCCAACCCACAGCAGGTCCAGGCTCTGGACGATGTCCTTTTGCCTCGAGCGGCCCCCGACTGGAGACCCCGACACCCCCAGCAGCCGGACCACCTTCTGGGCCGACGGCCCCCCAGCACCTGCAGGCGCGACAACCCCCCAGATCTCATCAACCACCCCTTTTGTCCCGATCTGGGGGGTCCCGAGGAAGCCGGACCGGACCGTGGAACGTGGCTGGTTCCCGGACGGCAGCCCTCGCATTTTCGGGGGGGTGCCTTCCCCGCTGCCCCCAGGAGCTCTGCTGCTTTGTTCCTGGGCAGTGATGCCTATGGGGCGCAGCCGCCTCTGGGCAGGTGGGGTGGGCTGCCCCCCATCCATTCCCGGACAAACCTGATGGACGCCGAGTTGGTGGACCTGGACTCTGACTTTTAGGTGGGGGCTTTCGATGGCTCGGCTTGGGGAGGAGGGGGTGTCAATCAGCCATGGTTGGTAGAAAGAAGGGGAAGGGTCTGTGTCTTCAGGACCACCCCTGGGGGGCTGCTCCGTCCCCTTCAAGGATATTATGGGAATGGGCTTTCCTTGGACCACCTTCTGAAGACCGGCTGTGCTTTAACCCCCCCCCCCTTCAACTGGTGGACCTCTGCCAGAAGACCACGGGTGGGATTGTCTCCTCGCTTTGGGATGAGGAGAACCTCAAGGAGGTTGGTGGCGTCCAGAATGAGGAAGACTCTGCAGTGCCAAATGTAGAAGGTCCCCCCCCTTGCGCTGATGAGGCTACGTAGTCGGTTCATGAAATGTCTGCAAGAAAACAAGCCAGGTCAGAGGGCATCAAGAGCCCTCATTTCCTTCCTTCCTTCCTTCCTTCCATTCATCCATCCCCCTATTCTTCCTTTCTCTTCCTCTCCCTCTCCACAAACTCCATTCCTTTCTAACACTGATGATGTTCCCTAGTTGGGTCAGGAAATGTCTGCAAGGAAAGCACCACGCTCAGAGAGCACCAAAGACCCACAGTTCCCTTCCTTCCATCCATTCATCCATCCATCCTTCCCTCCCCTTATTCCTCCTCCTTTCTCTTCCTCTTCCTCTCCACAAACTCCATTCCCTTCTAACACTGATGATGTTCCCTAGTTGGGTCAGGAAACGTCTGCAAGAAAAGCGCCATGCTCAGAGAGCACCAAGGACCCCACAGTCCGTCCTTCCTCCTCCTCCTGCTCCTCCTCCACTACCACCACCTCCCTGTAAACCCCCCCCCTTCTAGCACTGATGATGTTCCCTAATTGGGTCATGAAACGTCTGCAAGAAAACCACCCAGCTCAGAGAGCACCAGGGACCCCATAGTCCTTCCTTCCTCTTCTTTCCTCCATCCCTCCTTCCTTCCTTCCTCCCTTTATTCCTTCTTTTTCTTCCTGCTCCTCTCCACAACCCCCCCCCTAACCCTGATGATGATCCCTAGTTGGGTCATGAAACGTCTGCAAGATAAAACCAGGTTGGGAATCCACCCGGGACCCCTCAGATCCTCCACGGCTTCCCAGCTCACCGCCTCAAATGGCCCCCGTAAGAACTTTGCTCGGAAGGAGATCCGGAACTGGGGGATCAACAGAAGGAGGTTTGGCAAGTGAGGAGAACCAAGAATTGGGGTGCTGGTCCTTGCGGGGTGAGAAGAACCCACTCCTGTAGACGATTAGGAGTGGGAGGGGACCTCTGAAATGACGAGAATAAGGCATTGCAGAGAATCCTTATGACCAGTGACTTAAATGTCTGTTTGAAGGGACGATGGACCCCCCCAAAAGAGAACAGCCTATTATTGTCAATGAACTTGATTGACTTTTGGGGGGGGGGCTGGAAAAATGGGACTTATTTCCAGTTTCTCACCCAAAAAAACCCCACCCCAGCCACATTGCAAAGCAGTTGTTTTACGTAATGATTGTGGTGTTTGTTGGCTGCAGACTCACTTAATCGTGGTGGCTTGATAAACGTTCACCATGACAAAGCCATAAAATCAGATCAGTCTGCCAAGCGACCGGCACAACTTAACGACTAATTCCAGACTCAGTTATGGTTGTAAGTTGAGGACTACCTGGACACTGGACCCAAAAGCGTAAGGGGGCCAGCTGCATACTTTTACCTCTTTCGGCATCGACCACGCCTTTCAGAATTTAGGGGAGAAAGATTTTATTTTTTTTTAAAAAAGGAGATTTCCTGGATAAGACCCGGAGGAGATGGAGGACATTCTTCATGGATAGGTTGACTTGGGTGTCTTTTCAAGAGATGCGTGGCCTCAGAACTTGAGTTGGAAGAGCATGAATGCGATGGACTACCAGGGACTATCCAGATGTTAGATCGGTGTTCCTCAACATTAGCAACTTTTTAAGAATTCCGCGGGGGAATTCTGGGAGTTGAAGTCCACCCATCTTAAAAGTTGCCAAGGTTGAGGAACACCATGTCCACCATCTGGTAGCCCACTGTACTTGGGATCTTCAAACTCAAGTCTTGTGTCCATCATCTCTGACCCTTCCTGATGGATCTGGAGATCCAGCATTAACATCTTCCCATCCAAGCTCCTCCCAGGATTCTGAGTAGGACATCCCAGTTGGATTCTTCACCATGACTTCTCAAGTCTTCATGGGGTCAACTCTTAACAGCGAGGTAGAAGAAGCTTCATCTGAGGTCACCTAGTGTCCTAGTCCACCATCTGGTAGCCTTGAACCTCTGGAGAACTCTTTGTTTCCCACATCCCATGCTGTGCCTCGACCTCGTGCAGCTTGATGGGACTTGCAGTCTTACATCTTCTCCGTGATGGGCCTAGACGGCAATAGGAATTAGAACGTGGAGTAAGCAAAGAAGACTGTAGCAACGTATGAAAATATTTCCAGATGTGTTGCTGTTTTTAAATATACCTACGTATAAGGCAGAGCGTTTGTGTCTTGTTTTTCAGGATTGCAAAACCTTTAAACATTTTCTCCTTTCTAATAAGGATTTAACTAGGTTTGGGCCAGGAGGTGGCAATACAGAGCAGGATTTGAATTGTGTCTTTTCACTTTCCCAGGCCAAACTCTCTTTTCCCCAAAAAAGCAGACGTGGTCTGGGACGCGGTCCTAACCCTGGTTTGATAAAACACAGTTCCTTCTTCCGCAGAAGATACTGTGCCCGAACCAAGATTCAGGCAATCCTCGACTTCACCACCCAAAATTTCTGTTGTTAAGTGAAGAGAGTCGTTAAGTGAGTTTTGCTCCGCTTTACGACCTCCCTCGCCACGCTTTTGAAGTCAGTCCTTGAAGTTGTTCAGTCAGTCACTCAAATTAAGCTTCCCCGTTGACTTTGCTGATCAGAAGGTTGCAAAGGGGATCTGGGACACCAACCGTCATAAGTACAGGTCAGTTGCCAAACCTCTGAATTTTGGTCATGTGACCGTGGGGGATGCTGCTAACTTAAGAACGGTGGCAATTCGCTTAACTTCTGTGGCAAGAAAGGTAAAAAGGGGCAAAATTCACTTAATGACCATCTTGCTTAGCGAGGGTTACCGATATTGTGCTTTTCCTGTGTCTCTTTGGCCCCAATTGTGCAAAGGGAAGAGAAGTCTCTAAATCTGATCTCTGGCCACATAACACAATAATAATAATAATAATAATAACTGGAGCACCACTTGAACTTTGATTTTGAGGGAAAGGACAGGAAGTCTGTTTTGCTCCTGAAATCACAGGTAAAGAAAGATAAGTCATACCTCCCCCTTTCCGCTAAAATTGTAATTTGTTCTTTGTTTTCATTTCTGTTTCTCTCCCGGTGTATTATTTTTTAATCCTCTTACAGGAGGAGGTTTTATAAGCTGCTCAGCGTCAGCCTGGATTAGAATGCCTTGGGAAATAAATACATAATTTCACTGACCACAGGAAGAATGCTGAGAAAATGCAAGACTTGTTAGATTGTTTTATTCTCCTGCAAAAAAAGGCCCACATCTATCCTGTGTCCCCGATTCCTTGCATATGGTTTTCAGGCCCTTTATTCATTCTGTCTGTCTGTCTGTCTGTCTATCTATCTATCTATCTATCTATCTATCTATCTATCTCTAATCTATCATCTATCTAATCTATATCTATCGATTATTCTCTATGTATCATATCTATCATGTATCATATCTATATCTGTTTCTATATCATCGCTAATCTATCATCTAATCTACTATCATCAATTATTATCTATGTATCATATTTATGATCTATCATGTATCATATCTATATCTGTTCCTACCTACCTACCTACTCAATCTATCAATATTCTCCTATTTGTGTCATACCCAAATCCTGCAACTATTCTTTGTATGGTTTTGTCTTCAGCCCCTTAATCATCTTAGTTCAGTGGTTCTCAACCTTTCTAATGCCGTGACCCCATAATACAGGTCCCCATGTTGTGGTGACCCCCAAGTGGGTGTGGCCACCAATAAGAGGGAGTAGGACAGCTAGGGAAAAGGGAAAAAAATGGCGGACAGTGTGGTTTGGCGACCTCCGTGAAATGGTCATTCGACCCCAAATGGGGTCCCGACCCACAGGTTGAGAACCACTGTCTTAGTTGCTCTTCATTGCACTTCCCCTCCCCCCAAAGTCTTAGCATCTTTTTTCTAATGTGGTGACCAAACCTGGATGGAGTACTCCAGGTGTGGCTTTACGAAGGCTTTATAAAAGCGGTACTAAATTCTTCACGTGATTTTGATTCTATGCCTCTGTTTTTATACAACCAAGGATTGTATAAAATCCTTTTTGGCTGCCTTTTGATGATGGAGATTTTTAAAGAAGAGACTAGTCACTAGACAGTCCCTTGTCTGAAATGATATAGGGACTCCTGCTTGAGCAAGGGGCTGGACTAGAAGACCTCCAAGATCCCTCCCAGCTCTGGTCTGATTGAGTGATTGCAACGTAGAACTAAGGAGAAACTTCCTGACGGTGAGAACAATTAACCAGTGGAACAGCCTGCCACCAGAAGCGGTGAATGCTCCAACACTGGAGGTTTTTAAGAAGAGACTGGACAGCCATCTGTCTGGAATGGTGTAGGGTTTCTGCCTGAGCGGGGGGTTGGACTAGATGACCTCCAAGGTCCCTTCCAGCTCTATTCTGAGGATACGATGATGACGTCCATCAGCCAGGCAGGCCAGCAAGGAAAAGATGATGGGTCCTTGAGTCCCTCGACCCTGGAGGATGGTTAAGGCAATCTTCCCCAAGCTCCAAGGCAGGCTCGCTGCGCAAAAGAACCCCGAGACTTCAAATCCTCCCCCCCGCCCCCCATTTTCCCCCTCCTCAAGCGGCCCACTGCCTTCGCGCCAGGCGGCGCTCACGGGAATTGCAGTCCCGCCGCCGCGGAAGAGCGCCCGATCGCCGAGCGGCGGGACTGCGTTTCCCAGGAGCCTCCGCGCGTGGGGAGTCTCCCTGGCCGCGCAAGGCCCGCCGGGAGTGGGAGTTTCCGCGCGCTCGGCCGCCGCGCGCGCCGGCCGGCCGTGGGACTCGTCTCCCGGCGTGCCCCGCGCGCGAGTGGGCGGGCCCGGAGGGCGTGTCCGGCCTGAGGGAGCCGGCGGGCGGGCGGGCCGAGCGAGGAGGCGCCGAGGCTGCTGCGGGATGATGTCGGTGCGGGTGGCGGCCCCGCCGGCCGTGGAGCTCAAGGAGCTGGCCGGGCCTCTCGACAAGCCCGCCGCTGCCGCCGCCGCCGCCTCTGCCGGGCCCTGCCCTCCTGCTCCTCCGCCGCCGCCCGCTTCCCCCGCCGAGCCCGGCCCGGCCGTGGCGGGGGAGAAGGCGGCCCCGGCCTCCGGCGCCCCCTCCGCGGGGAAGGCCCCCCAGGCCTCGGCCATGAAGCGCTGCGAGCCCCCGCTGCGCCTGTCCGGCGACGGGGGCGACGGGGCGGGCGGGCGGCTGGGCGAGGCGCTGGTCAGCCCCGACGGGAGCGTCACGGAGGCGCCGCGCACCGTCAAGAAGGTAGGAAGCGCCGCCGCCGTCGCCGCCACGGGGCCCATCGTCCGCTGCCCGGGGGTGGGGGGAATCGGCTTCCTCGCCACTCTGGGGCCCATCGTCCCCTGCCTGGGGGCGGGGGATATTCTTCCTCTCCACGACGGGGCCCATCGTCCGCTGCCTGGGAATGGGGTGTGGAATCTGCTTCCTCGCCACTACGGGGCCCATCGTCCGCTGCCTGCGGGCGGGGGTAATCTTCCTCGCTACTACAGAACCCATTGTCCCCTGCCTGGGAACGGGGTGTGGAATCTGCTTCCTCGCCACGACGGGGCCCATCGTCCCCTGTCTGGGGGTGGGGGGATATTCTTCACCACCACTATATGGCCCATCGGCTCCTGCCTGGGGGTGGGATAGAATCTGCTTCCTTGCCACTACAGGGCCCATCATCCCCTGCCTAGGAAATGGGGTGGAGAATCTGCTTCCTCGCCACTACACTGCCCATCGCCCCCTGCCTGGGGGTGGTGGGGATATTCTTCCTCGCCACTATAGAAGCCATCGTCCCTTGACTGGGGGTGGTGGGGTATTCTTCCTTGCCACTGCAGAGTCCATCATCCCCTGACTGGGGGTGGGAGGATATTCTTCCTCGCCACTCTAGGGCCCATCGTCCCCTGACTTGGGATAGGGGGAAATCTGCTTCCTTGCCACGATGAGGCCCATTGTCCTCTGCCTGTGGGTGGGGGGGAAATCTACTTCCTTGCCACTACAGGGCCCATCGTCCCCTGTTTGGGGGTGGGGGTATGGAATGGGCTCCTTCGCCACTGCAGGGCCCATTGTCCCCTGGTCCGGCCGGAGACTGCCAGAATGGCGGTCCCCCTGCCCATGGGGTGGGATGCTGGGAGTTGTAGTCCCTGGGAGGGGGAGGGAGGGTCCTTGGGGAAGGCTCCCCACCCTGATCGTGGGGCTCTGTGCAGCCCAGGTGGGGTGGGGGGCATCTGGGGTCTTTGGGGGGGTCTTTGCAGCCTGGGGGACATGGAGGTCTTTGGAGTCTGGGGGCTCGGGGGGGGGGTGTCTCTGTAGCCTGGGGATGTCAGGGGTCTTGCCTTTCGCAGAGGGGGGAGGAGTGTTGCAACTGGAGCGATCTGGGGGGGGGCGAGGGTCTTTGCAGTCTGGGGTGTTGAAGGTCTTTGCAGTCTTGGGGGGGGGTCCGGGGTCTTTGCAGTCTCGGGGGAGGCTTAAGGGTCTTTGCCGCGTTGGGGATGTCCCCTCTGCAGTCGTGGGGTGGGGGGGGGTGGGGTTGGGGGTGGGGGCGTCTTTGCAGCCTGGGGGGGGGTCATCGAGGTCTTTTGTACTCTGGCAGAGTTGAGGGTCTCTGCAGCCTTGGGGGCATTGGGGGTCTTGCCCTCTGCAGCCTGGGGGGGTGGGGGCATCTTTGCAGCCTGGGGGGGTCATCGAGGTCTTTTGCACTCTGGCAGAGTTGAGGGTCTCTGCAGCCTTGGGGGCATTGGGGGGTCTCGCCCTCTGCAGCCTTGGGGAGAGTCGAGGGTCTTTGCAGGCTTGAGGGGGTAGATATTCTTTGCAATGGGGGGGGTCTCGACCTCTGCAATCTTGGGAGGGGGGGTCTTTGCAGCCTGGAAGGAATCCTGGGGGGGGGGTCTTCCCCTTTGTAGGTCTTTGCATCATGGATCGGGCTGTGCCTTTCGCCCTCTGCAACCTTGGCGGAAGATCAGAGGATCTTTTCTCTCTGGGGGGGGGGAGATTGGGGTCCTTTGCATCCTTGGATGGGGGGGTCTAGGGTCTTTGCAGCCTGCAGGGTATCGGAGTCCCCTGCAGCCTTCTGGGTTGGGGCAAGCATGGCAGAAAGGGGGGCAGTTGCCCAAAGACCCCCTGCCCTGATATCAAACCAGCCTATTCCCCCCCCCCTAGCTTGCTCGCCCCCTCTTGAATCCCCCTCTGGAGCTTCCGGTGACCTGCTCTGGTTCACCTGAAGCCCCCCCCCTTCTCTCTTGCCTCCTGCCAGGTGTGGCCCTGGGCACCTTTTCCGAAGGAAAAGCATCCCGGCGTCCTGGGGCCCCCACCACGCAAGGGCCCGCTGGCATTGTTCCAGCCAACCTTTCCAAACGTTTCACTTTCAGAGGGTTGGACTAGAAGACCTCCGAGGTCCCTTCTGACTCCGTTATTCGGTTAAGAGGTTTCTTCCGTTCTAGAACTGAAGAAGCTTCTTGGATGAGAAGTGAAACATTTTCAAAGGGGAAAAAAAAAAAAAACCAAGCCCCTAGAACGGGCACGCAACCTTGGCTCTTTTATGACTCGTGGACTTCAACTCCCAGAATTCCTGAGCCAGGAATTGCTGGCTCAGGAATTCTGGGAGTTGAAGTCCACGAGTCATAAAAGAGCCAAGGTTGCCTGCCCTAGAACGTCCAGTTGCCTTTTGGGAAAAAAAAAGCACCTTTGGGACATTTGCTTTCCAGAAGAACTCTAGACCAGTGGTTCTCAACCTTTTTAATGCCGTGACCCCCAACCGGTCCGGTCAACCGTAAGTCGAGGACTACTCAACTGGTGCAGCCCCGTTTGCAGAATGGGACTTTTGGCGGGCTCAGCAGGGCAGAGACAGCCTGGACAATTCCTATTGGCTTTGGAAAGCCAATAGAATTAGACTCTGTTCAAGAGAGTCTCTTCTATTGGCTTTCAAAAGCCAATAGAATAAAAGGGAGGAGCACAGCTAAGGAAAAGGGGGAAAAAATGGCGGACTGCGTTGTTTGGCGACCCCCGTGAAATGGTCGTTCGACCCCAAATGGGGTCCCGACCCACAGGTTGAGAACCACTGGGCTAGACACTCTTGAGCCAGAGGTCATGGCTGAAGCCTCCAGGCTGGATTCCACAATCTCGCTCTCTCCCTTAAATCACATCGTGGTTAGTAGATCCTATGCCACATTTTGATGGACTCTTAGGTTTGGCCTCCCCTTGCCTTTTCCGTTCCCGTCTACCCCATCTCAGCCCGAGCAGACACCGATCTGGGTATAGCACATGTAACAACCCTAAGCCCGTATTTTGAATCCCGGTGTGAAAGCTTCCCACACCTGAGCTTCCGCAGAATTCTTTCACAGGTTAAACAGAGCCAGAGGAGAACAGGTGCAGGCCTCCGGAGGGATTTTGCTGCTGCAGAGTTGATAACACGGTGGCTTTTCGATCCAGGAATGTGGCTTTGCCTGATAAGAACTGTCTTAACTGTCCTTTTTCCTGGTTCTCACGGTTAACAGCTCGTCTGAGAATGACTTTTTGCAAGCCAAAAAAAAACTTTACTCGTTGTTTTATGGCTAAAGCACCCTGTTCTTGGGATTCCAAGTAGACGTGCTAGAGCGGAAGGTTATGAAACTTTGAGCTGGGCAGGAAGGCATCACGGCCACTTGGAGAAGCGGTGAAACGTTTCAAACCCCAAAGAAAAGACGTCCAGTTGCCTTGACTCCACTTCCAGGCAATCTGTGTCAGTGTTGCTCAACCTTTAAGGTGGGTGGATTTCAGTTCCCAGAAATCTCTTGAGCTAGGGAATTCTGGGAGTTCAGATCCACCCATCTTAAAGTCAACAAGGTTGAGGAACATTGTTCTATATATATAACAAATAGAATTAGAATAGAATTAGAATCTAGAATATAGAAAAGAAAATATGGAATAGAATAGAATTTAGAATAGAATAGAATAGAAAATATGGAATAGAATAGAATTAAGAATAGAATTAAGAATAGAATAGAATAGAATAGAATAAAAGGAAAATAGAATAGAGTAGAGTAGAATAGAATAGAATAGAAAACAGGATGGAATGGAGTGGAATGGGGAATAGAATAGAATAGGAATAAAATAGAATAGAAGGAAAATAGAATAGAATAGAATAGAATAGAATAGAATAGAAAATATGGAATGCAGTAGAATAGAATTAAGAATAGAATAGAATAGAATAAAAGGAAAATAGAAGAGAACAGAATAAAATAGAAAATATGGAATGGAATAGAATAGAATAGAAAATATGGAATGGAACAGAACAAAACAAAATATATGGAATGGAACAGAATGGGATAGGATAGGATAAAAATAGAATAGAACAGAACAGAACAGTGATGGCGAACCTTTTAGAGACCGAGTGGCCAAACCGCAACCCAAAACCCACTTATCTATCACAAAGTGCCAGGGGTCTATCAGCATTGTGGTGCCCTCGGGGGGGGGGGGAGGCACCTCTGAGTGCCACCTCTGGCACGCCAAAACCAGGAGCGCAAAAATAGGCCACTGTGCTGCAAGGTGCAAAAACGGCCACTGCTGCACCACGGGGTGTAGATACAAGACGCTGCACCACACAAGAATGGAGCAGGGCTAGTGAGTATCACACAGGCACTAGCCCCGCCTCATTTGCAGCGCGTGCATGCTTGCGGCCCTGTGCGTGCATGTGCGCATGTAAAATTCTCTTCCCCCCTCCCTTTTCTTCCAGGCCACTAATCGACAATGGTTGGTGACCTCTGCTCTACCACCTCTACTCCAGCTTGTTAGTCATCCGCTTCGCCTCCTTTGTGCTGGACGGGGCTCCTGCTCCGGGCGGCAGCGGCGGTCTGATGGACCTGCTGCTGGCAGCAGCGGCGCACGTGCCCACACAGAGGGCTCTGAGTGCCGCCTCTGGCACGCGTGCCATAGGTTCGCCACCACTGGAATAGAATATTGTTTATTGGCGAAGTGTGATTAGACACAGGGGGCCATTATAGCCGTTACTATAGCACCAAGCAAACCCAAGGAAGATATTTACATCCAACAATTCTAATATACTTCCAACAGGTTGGATTCACACAAAGGTGGAGCCTTAAATCAGGGTGAACACAGCCCAGCTTCTGCCCCAAAGATGCTTTTTCACGAGGCACGTCTTCCTTTGAAGACGTGTCGCTTCTCCTCCAAGAAGCTCCTTCCGCTTCTTCGATTAGAAGCGAAACGTCTTCAACCCCCCTACACGCACCCAAGAAAATCCAGTTGCCTGGTGAAAAAGCATCTTTGAG